AGTCATTTTTTTTTGAGTGCAGATCTTGGCCTCGCTAACTTAATACCAAGCATACCTCTTTGTTTTTGAAGACAGAACAAGTCAAATATAACATCTGGTCAGGTGAGGTTTGAGCCTGTGTCATGCCAATACAGACCTCCACTCTGTGTACAGTGCATGTTTCATTTCTGTGGTCTTATTTCACAACATATCAGGGCTATAATGCGTTTTTTCTTTCTATCATCTATTATGAAAACTCACAGCAGTCGTCAGTTGAAGTTGTGTACACACATACACATACATACACATACACACTGGCACACATCTGTAATTGACCACCTGTTTGTCTGTGGCCTAGTTTACGCATTATGAAACACTGTGCAATGTACAATTCCTTTGGGATTCCTAACTGCCAGCCTCTTATTTCAGTTGTTCTGAACCAACACAAAGGGGACAGAAAACCCATACGCAGCACGTCTTTTGAGTTTCTTTTGAAGAAATTGGGGGTATAAATAGAAATGTTAGGGGCAAAAGAAGTTCAGTAGTCGGCTCATATTCGCACTGGGAAAGGACGCTGACTCTTCTGTAACGTTTTTTCCTTTTGAAGACTTTAGTTCTGTTGGTATAAATAAGAAATAGAGGGGAGAATCATAGTTCAGTAGGTAATGTTATGCACATTTTTTTGTCATTTTTGTGTGTCCCAGTTCACTTGAGCTAATACACCAACCCATTCTTGATGTTAAATAATGTGTGTTTCTCTCCTTTGTGTGTTAATGTGTTGCAGTGGAGTGCATTCAAATGTGTGTTTATATGAAGGGCGTGTATTCCTGTGTATAGACAGGAAGGCTCCGGGATCGTCTGTGTTTGCAATAAGCTGAGGCAGTCAGAGGAGCCCACCACTGAGGGAAGCTTTAGGGTCAAGACACACATACACACTCCTGCCTGTTTGTAAGCTCTGCTGACTGCAGGAAGCAATAATGTTAGCGTGCTTCCGGAGATCCGGAGGCTTCTCTCAGGGGAGTGTGGCTGCCCTGTCCAGCTCAGCAGAGCAAAACTGAAAACACAACAGAGCAGAAAATGATAGAATATTGAGAATAGAATTGAGTAGAATAGAAAAAAGTCCAGTAGGATAGTTAACGATACAGTAGAGCCGGGCAGAACCGAAAATAATAAAAAAAAGTAAAACAAGTTATGGCAAAACAGATGTTAAATTAAAGATGAACAAAACAGAGTATAAATGAGAAAACAAATGGCATTGGTATGTAGAAGGGCAGAGTAAATACCTTTCACCAGAGCAGACAGACTGTTGAACAACACAAGTTGCTGCTCACAGTTTTAGTTCGTAGACGTGAAGACCAAACTAGGAGTTTGTTGTAACCCCATATAAGAACAAGCCTGGGCTATTTTCACAATATCAATATTGTGTGTGTGTGTGTGTGTGTGTGTGTGTGTGTGTGTGTGTGTGTGTGTGTGTGTGTGTGTGTGTGTGTGTGTGTGTGTGTGTGCGTGTGTGCGTGTGCGTACGCGTGGCTGCACAATTAGTCCAAATCTCAGAAGCTGCAATTTGTTTGATAAAGGTTAAATGTGACAAAAACAGCATTGCACTGAAGTACTGTAGTGCTGCATAGAGACCCTGGTTTACAAATCTTATTCTCCAGATGTTTGTGTGGTACTACAGACGTCAACAAATGTCACATCATCATGATTTTAATAGTTTTTTCAGTAGAAATAAGAATGTTGATGCAAAAATTATCATTCCCACTAATCGTGAATCTTAATGCAATCTCAGTATTCAGAATATATATATTTTTAGATTTTTTTTAACATATCTTGCAGCCATATGATGGAATAACTCAAGAACAACATTGTGACAATATTTGGGGGCTGACCATTAGTGCTTTCCAAAGATGCTTCAACCCAGGATTTCTTTTTTATGTAGTGATTTTTATGTACATGACAGCAGTGTTATTTTAGGGGGGGCGGGATTAAATGATTGCACACTACAGAGATGAGTCAGTACTGCGGTCCGTGCTCTTTAAATTGTCTTCAGTTGGATGGTAGAAAAATATTAGGACAGGAAGAGAGCGTGGAGGACGAGCCAGCCTGTGGAGAGAGTTTGCGTGTCAGACCTCATCATCTGTGTATCCCGTTGCTCTTCCACTTCCTTCCTTCCTTCCTTCCTTCCTTCCTTCCTTCCTTCCTTCCTTCCTTCCTTCCCTGCATGGATTCATCTCTGCGTTCCTCTCTGCTCATGTCGCTGGTCCATTCGCTCCGTTTCCCAAGCTGACAGTGTTGCGGCTGACATTAGTGTGCAGTCAGGATATATTGATCTCACCAGGTTGACCATTGCCACGTCTGGTTGGATATTACCTGCTAGCTGTCAGTATACACTTCCTGTAATGCATTTCAGGGGCATCTCCTCCCTTCATGATAAAGGCCCACATCTTTCAAACTCTGTGCTCCTAGTTTGTTACACATGCCAGGGTTTCTCCCAGTCAGTTGTTAGTGTAGGTGGTAAGCACCTGCTGAGCTGAATCAGACAGATAGTAATGGATCTCATGTTGTAATCAGCATAGTTACTAAATGATGACATAAATAATTGACTCAGACATTACATATGCAGCGTGATGTCGCGCCTCTGCTCTTTTCCTGTGTAGGCTAATGCAGTATTTCACAACAGTAGGAGCTGCTTCTGACATTAGTGGGGGCGGTTATTAATTTCAGGTGAAAAACACTACAAACCTTCCAGTAAAAATTTAACCCCCAACCTGAGAGAACCCTGGTGACGTTTTATTTTTTCCAAACTGCTCTAAAGCCACAGATGTAGCACCATTTTCTCATGATAAGAAGTGCAGTTATAAAACATGGACGTGTAAAACTGGCGCTCCTTTTAAAAAGATGTTATGTAAAACATGAAAAATGTTGAGAAATGACTAGAAAGTATTGGTTTTCACAGATTAGTCAAATGTCATCATTCATCCCAGTACTTAAAAAATATTAAACGTATAGAGATGTTTAAATGAAATACACAATTATCCATCATGCATGTCCCATGTGTTCCTCATGACTGCTTCAGAAAGTCCTCCTAATTTAAGACGGTTACTGTGCTTTCTGGAAGTTTCCTCCTTCATATTTTGTTGAGTGAGAATAACGAATCACACAAACACATACAAGAAATAATCTACTGTGCAGCTTCAGTGTCTGGAGGTGAGAAGGCGGGCTGTTGCCGCTGTTAGCAGAGGCCTCACACATAGCTATGTATATATGTGCGGGTACATACACAGTGTGCACACCATCTGCCAGTGGTCATGGGAGGTTTGTGCTGATGTGTAGTGACAAGCAGCTCAGGCACGCAGAGAGCCCTCCATATATGCTCTGTATACACACAGATACGCTCACACAGAGCCATCGTTAAAAATACAGCAGCTCCGGATGACGGGACCATGACCCATGTGGGGTTATTATGTCTCCTGTCAAGATAGATCACCAAAGAATAAAAAAAGCAGGAGGTAAACAGGGAGGGCACAAATCCCACTGCAATGGCATATGTTCCCCAACAAAGTCTAAAAAATGAAAACACTGCTGCAACTACACAAAAACAGAAAGAGCTGGCATGTGAAACTCTCAGTGTACATGATGTCTCTGATGGAGCTATTTGTCACAAAGAATTTGCTTCTCAGCTTTTTTTCATTGAGAGCAAGTGGCCAGCTTCTTATGCTAAACAATACTTTTTAGGTTTTACCTATAATCCTGACAACATGGTATGCTAATATTAATTGTAAGCTGATAAGAAAGAATATTGTTTGTTTAGCTTGTACAAAAAACATGTAAAAACAACACAATGTGGTGTTACGGTGGGTTATGTGCCAGACTTTTTGTTTGCCAGGAGCAGTAACTTCCTGCCACTCTGAATCGCGGTTAGGTTAGTGAAAATGCATATTATAATAAAAATGTATACACAACATAAATTATAAAAATAAGCGTAAAGAAATGTAAAGAAATACACTATTGAATGTTAATACACAGTATATGCCAATACCAGTGTATGTGTGATGGGCCAGGACTGGGAAACGGTAAATAAAGTTTATAATTTCTTCTATAAAAAAGAGATAATTCTTCATTGTCATGCTTCAGATTGAACATATACTGCAAAGTATAAAAGCCCATTTGATTTAATCTGTGTAAACTTGGATTCGAGCCACATGGGACCAGTTTGACCAATTTACGAAGACAAGGAAAGCAGTCAGACGTGGCTTCGGTAATAACAGGCTTTGGTTTGCTCTAAATGGAGCAGCTTCAGATTGAATTATTGTTATTTATTCCCACTGATGAGCAGACAGGGCACCCTCAGCCACTGTTTGCACTGCCATCATTTACCAACCAATCACTACAGCCACCCCTGCCAGACATGTTAATGATGAAATGATAAAATTTAAATAGTTGATCAATTGGGAATAGATGAAGGTCACACGAGTGCACCTGTTCTGTGCTTCTACGAATCAAACCAGATAGCTGAAAGAACTCTATATGCATATTTGTTTTACTCACCTTTAACTTGAATTATTCCGTGCTATTGAAGATCAAACATGGTCACATTTTGAAATAATGCAACAGGAGGGTTGCAAATATTTTACGCTCTTTTGTTTTTCTCATTTTATTGCATTTTGTGGAAGCTTGCAAGTGTTTTAGTGCTGTGCTGATGTTTAGTTTCCACATCCCCTGGTAGGGAACCTTGCCTTCTCATTGACATTCTTTTCTCATGAAGCAGTCGGTCTTTGCTGCTTCGTCCTGCTTGTACAGGCTTGCCTTACTGTGTGGCTGCCTTCACTAAGTGCATCATGTCGCACTGTGCGTTGGCTTAGTGTATTCTTTACACCTTAACACACCTGTAAATTGTACAGTACATACAGTATATGTACATTATAAGCATTGATAATCCTAAAACTGTGTGTTTGCTGTTTCACCTTTTGTTGCTCTCACTCTTAATTTTCTCCTCTCTGCTGTGTGTTGGCTTGTTGCAGACCCTGGTAGGAGCGTGATGAGCGCGCGCTTCCGCTTGCCTGCTGGCAGATCCTACAATGTCCGGGCGACAGAGCTGGAGCGAGACAGGCAGCACACACAGGTTGTGTGCAACGTACTGCTGCTGGACAACACTGTCCAGGCGTTCAAAGTCAGCGTAAGTACCACATTTCCTCGTCTTTAAGTATCTTACTTTAAATTTTAATGAACTGAATTAGAGAAGACAGACACAAATGGGAAAATTCAATGAATTACCTGTCAGTGATAAATACTGAGCTGCTTTGGATGCCTGTAAAACTTTGTCTACTGTGATCTTGTGATGCTGTCTCTCTTTGTGTTCTACATTCATGAGATTACACATTAGTTATCAAGCAAACCAACAGAGGTTTTCAAACAGTGTTGCGCACCTCCCCCAGTGGGGCACGGCAGAGCCAAAGAGGGGGCACGGGTGGGAGAGACATGAGGTGTTACAGGAGTTATAACATCAGTCAAATCTAAACACACAGAAATGATACGCATATTTATAGATTTAGTGTGACTTCTCAGGAGAATCATAACCTCTGATGTCCATCACAAATAAACCTTAGAATAAAGATGCTCCTTATAACTCCAGAACTTGCCTGAACGTTTTAAATATCAATGTAGTCCAGCGATAGTTGTCTCTACATCCTTGTGTACATTGCAAACAGGAACTGCAAATGGCTAATTCGGCATACTTCTAACTGTGACCGACTACCAAAGTAAACAGATGCACTTCCTGTTTCCACCCTCAAAGCCCTCAAAGATCATGAGATAGTAAGTAAATGACAATAAGTAATAATAATAGTGGTAGACAATAGAGTGACAAACCCCATTAATAGGAACTTTTTTTCAGGTTGCAATATTCATATTTGTTTTTACAGTGATTAGGCCCAAAACATGGTTCTTTTATTTTTGGAACTCTTTTAGAACCATATACATACATATATCTGCCCTATGTTGATGATTTGTTTGGCTTTGAATGAAATAATAATAGAATATATCAACTTGCTTGAATAAAAATTAATACTTACGAATCAACTTAATGTTATTCTCATTAATTAATTGCTTTTTCCCCCCTCTTGTTGATGAAAGACCAATCAAATCCACGATTACATTCTTTGTGATCAATTTCTAAAAAAAACATTTCAATTCAAATGAATCAATATGTTGATGTTCATTCAGGCATAAAGTGAGAAGCAAACAAGTGAGCCCTCATATAATCAAACATTAACCCAAGGATAACCTCACAGAAGAAATGAGAGCACCATTATTGGACCTTCTCCTCTTCCTCCCTCCCTCAACTTCTCCCATTACTGTAAATTTCCCCTCAAGCCCACCTCAAATTAACTCGAGAGTTGGTGGTGGAAAACGCCTCCGTGTGTCTCTACATGTCTGCATTTGAAAAAAATATAATAATGAAACTAAAAGGTTAAAATACCTGTTCACACTCAATATTCGCCCTTACTGGCCACGAGGTTGGATTTCAGTGGTTGATCAGATACAGTCGGCCTTTATGCCGTTTTACAAGCATTCAGTCAAACGCAGTCAAAAAAGGAAGGAGGAAAAAAGTATTTGACAAGTTAGCTTGTGCCTGACACTACAGTTGTCTGTCACTTCATGTGATAACACATTTCCTTTTCTCTCCCTCTCTCTCTGTCGCCATGCGTTTGATCTGAGTTATGACAGTGTGAGTAGGGAAATTCCCTTTGTGAGTAAAAAAAAAAAAAAAGATACAATTCCTCTAATAACATCCCCTATGACAAATCACATCCTGTTGGTTAAGTGTGAAGGTGCGTCTGTGAGTGCAGCTCATCCATGTGAGGCACGAGTACATGTGTACGCATGCATATATATCTAGAGAAATACACAAATATTCACATTGCCGCTCAGAGTGCTGACATAATAACAGTATTTTTTTCTTTTATTGTGAAAAAGAAGCAGATGATGAGATTGAAAAACATGTTAGATTCTTCTTTTTCACAAGTTTGCTTATAGCTGGTATGTCTTTCACTTCCTGACTTTCTGCTGAAGACTTGAGGTGTACACATGAAAGACATTGTTTCAAAATGTAAAAGACCATTAAATTTAAATTTTCATCATGCTTTGTTACCATGTTTTCCTTATGGTATAACAACGTCTCCTGAAATGTGGTCATGAATTCTAAACAAAATAAAAGACAACTTAGTTTATTTAAATACTAGTAAAAGTACTTGTATTTTTCTCTTTTATAGAATCTCCTCCATTTTCTTTCTTTACATTTCTCTTTGCACTTTTCTCTCCCTCTCGCCCGCTCTGCTTCCTGCCCCAGACTCCCACCCCCCCTCCTCCTTGCCTCTTGCTGAATGAATGACTCGGTCTCTGTCAGTCTCTCTGTCAGTGTCATTGATCAGACCCCTGCAGCAGCAGTAACTTCCTGGAAAGACAAGCCATCCTCAGAGCAACAATACTTCTATTGATCCTCTCCCTGGCCAACTGGCCTTGATTCTAGCGGAGAGTGAAAATCCAGAAGCAGTCACTTATTGTCATGGGAACCCGTGCGCTTGTGGTGTGTTTGGGGGGGTTGGGGTGGGGAACGGGGTGGGTGGGACATGGGGATATTGATGATCTTATAGATGGGATGTCTTTGGCTAAAACGATAGCGGTGTAAAGCAGAATCTGGGGCAGCTTGAAAGCTTGATAAATGACAATACATTAAAAAAGCTCCAGCCCACTACTGACCCACCTCTCCACATACACAAAAGCAGGGTCAGAAGCAGGATTTATTCAGGTGAAGTGGTAACCATAGTAACCACTACACACCACATAAACATTCAGCTGTCAGCAAGAGCTATTGGTAATCAAGTAGCGCTTAATAATGAGCAAGTAAGAGCAGCGAGAGCTCGAAGGATAAATAATCGTTCAGAGCGGCTGTGATTTACTCTTGAATGAGAGCGAAATACAATAGGAATCTGTGCTCTTCTCATCATATCAGATCATTCTCCATATACCTTTCACTACATATATCTTTTCTTCGACATGTATTTACAGGTTGTATATGCACGTGATTCCTGGGGGACAATATTTCAGTCACATTACATTAATCTGTGTGCACGCAGCCATCTCTGATTATTCTTAAGCAAAACAAGCAGTGGCATCTTAAAGGGAAAGGGAATAACTCTTCTCAATGTAAAGACCCTGGAAAGGTATTTTTTTTACTTTTTAGTACAGTCCTAATAATAGATGCTCCAACGTGCCATCTCTGTGAGCGGGCGAGCCGAATGTATAGACTACAGCTGCTGTAGTCTGTTTTTGTGAAAAATAATTTCATTTTAATTACGTGTTATAGTTCGACTTTGTGTGAAACGTGCAGAGAATGTCTCAGCGTATTTGTGTTTGTGTTGTGGGATGGGTGTGGCTGTGGGAGCATTTTGCTTGCTTAACGCCTTCTCTATCCAGAAATGGGGAGGTATGTGCGGGTGGAATATACTGTATGTTTGACTTCTTAATCCTAAAGACTGGCTTTTGAAGGGAACGATACGACCGCAAGCTCTATTTTAGTAGCCGTTCGGGGGTTGTTATGGAATCGTGGAGCTCTACAACTCATCAATCATTTAATCTTTTGATAAGATTGAAGGCTCTAGAGCAACTACTAAAAGGATCTTGTCTTTTCCCTGAACCCTTTTCTGCTAAACTGCTCAAGCACGAGTCCTTGGTTACAAATATCAGTGAGCTAGCGAGGACATGAGTGTAGATGAAAGATACTTATTTTTTGCAGCCTTGAAAAATGTCCACTAACTGTTATCCTACGACTGTCAGCTCAAGATTCAGCTCCATCGCAGCTGTAACATCGTTTCATATATAACATTTAAATGTGTCCGTGTGTGTAGTACACAAGTTAATATTTAGACTTTACTGTGCTGTCCTTGTATGGTGGTGTTTTCTACGCAATTTTAGGTTTGTTTTTGACACAGAGGGAGAAACAGAGGAAGGCGACTCCTCCTTCACGTAGTTTTCTTCCTGTCTGGACAAGCTGCCTGACGCATTCCTGCATTTCCATCATTCTTTAACACAAACACGTACACGCAGCTCATTCAGCAAGGGGGGGTGGGGGGGAATAAATGTTTTTTTTATTTTATTAACCTGCCATAAAAAACACTGGGATTTTCCCCTTGCTCCTTCCAGTGCGTTTGATGTTTGGTGGTCTTTTCCCCTGTAACACTTAAGATAAACCCTCAGAGTGAAAAACTTTTCAGAGCATCTCTCTCTCTCTCTCTCTCTCTCTCTCTCTCTCTCTCTCTCTCTCTCTCTCTCTCTCTCTCTCTCTCTCTCTCTCTCAGCCAGTCTCTTGTGTCCTGATTGCGCTCTATCACCCACGACTCCCTCTTCTCTCTCACGCACACAGACACTATTTCAGTCAGTGCTGCTGCTCGACTGATGAAGATCAACACAAAGAGCGTTTGTCTTACACAACCGCATCGTCAATCACCCTTTCTCTCTCTCTCTCTCTCTCTCTCTCTCTCTCTCTCTCTCTCTCTCGTGTCTCTATGACTCTCTGTCTCCCCCTTACTTATTCTCAGTCATTTGTTGTTCTCCCCATCTCTTTCTCTCTCTTTTTCTTTGTTGGTCTCTCCTTTAGTATGTGCTCTGTTACTCTTTCTCCCACCTCTAGACCACGCGTTACCCACAGTATGGAGTTTGCTGCCGCTGTATGTTGTATAAAAGTTCAGAGAAATAATCTGTAAACTTATGAAAGTGCATTTCAATATGTTTGCCTGTATTCATGTTGCCCCCGCTCAGCTTTAACAGTGTATGGCTGTTTGCTCGTGCTCCTTCTTTTAGAATACCAGAAGAGGCTAGAAGGCACACACACACACACACACACAGTGGCGATGGGTTTCCTGGGAGCACAGTATAAAAAGTGCACAGAGGGCTCCCACATCCAGCTTGAAAAGCCGCTTCATACAAAGGGGAAGCAGTAGAGACACACACACACACTCACACTCACACTCACTCACTCACTCACTCACTCACTCTCACACACCCACACACACAGCCTCTCAGACATGTCTATGAATAGCCTCACTTGGGGAAACATCATATTAGAGGCTTGCATGTTTTTTCATTTTTTTTCCCTCATTTTGTCTCTCTGACCCCAGTCTGCAAAATCATTAGACTTTTCAGTTACTTTGTTAGTCCAGCACCCTGTTGTTGTTGATGATGAGTTGTTGATCAGTTTTTGTGACGTTTTATCATGTATATTCAGTCAACTAGTCCATCAGAGCGTCAGTAGAAAGCTAGTCTGATATTTTCTGTACACACACAAGTAGTTTCTGATTGCTTTGGAACAGCTGATCCCTACTGAAAAGCTCAGTTGGTTTTACGCAATTTTTAAAGCGAGCGCACCAAGTTAAGATTCTTAAAATCGGATCACTTGACAGTCAGGCGACAGAGATCTCATGCCTCAAATGTGAGCTTTCCCGAGAAGGTCTGTGCTTCTTGACAACACCAGCATTTTCAGTTTGAACCATTTTGAAAAACATTTCCTTCATAGATTCACTTTTTGTGACCAGCTTAGTATAAATATGAAACATTTTCAAACTCAGCCAACTTGTCCTGAGGGAGGCTGTTAGTCTATTTTTATCAGATATAGTAAAATCCCTTCGCGGACGCTTGAGTAGACAGCAGTATAAGATTTTTTTGTACTGAGATGTATGTGTTTTTTAAAAAGTTTTTTTGTTCTTTTTTTTTAATTTAAACTCGATATTGAAGTTGTAGGGAAGTGAGCAAGAAGGGAAACGAAGGAGCATCAGAGTTGACTCACTTACCAAGGCTTTGACAGCAGTATATTGCTCACACACACACACACACACACACACACACACACACACACACACACACACACACACACACACACACACACACACACAGAGCACTAAAAGACTGCCGGTGATCCTACAGGGCTGCCATGTCAACATGTCAACTGTCAACTATCATTCCATTCGTCCCCCTCCCCTCACATGCTGGGTTGTAAAAGTGTGTCACCAGGGTAAAGGGGAGAGGTGGACGAGAGCAGTAAGTGTGTGTGTGTGTGTGTGTGTGTTTGTGTGTGTGTGTGTGTGTGTGTGTGTGTGTGTGTGTGTGTGTGTGTGTGTGTGTGTGTGTGTGTGTGTGTGTGTGTGTGTGTGTGTTCGTTCTCCCATGGGAGCTCTGATGGAGTTACACACTCACACTCTCTCTCTCTCTAAGTCGCGGCAGGATCAGGTGTGAATTTCTGCTCCACTTGTTGTCCCACAGTTTATCCTCTCGCCCTTCCCACTCTCTCATGAAACGATGTGATATTAATGATCTGTTTAATAAATTATTCCTCACCCTTTTTTCACTTACTTTAGCCACTCATCACTCTCATCCTCTTCTCTCCTTCCTGTTTCCCCGTCCTGTATAAGGGAAATTCCTGCTTTTAATACAACCTCAGTTTCATTTTTTGTTTGGCCACTTGTCCTACAGTTACTATGACCTTTAACCTACTGGGTGCAATAATGATCCATTTGTTCTTAAAGTGAACAAAAGACACTCAAAATGTACATTATAGGCATTCTTTACACTGTTAAACCGCTTGCACACACACACTGTGGTACATACAATATGTTCAGTTTCACTTTCATCTTCAATTCCTCTTCTAGAAGATTGGTTCTGATAACTGGATTAAACTGGTTCACTGGTTGCATGCATTGTAAGGCCCATACTTTTGATTTTAACAGCGCTTTAGCTACATTCACTCAATTTGTGAGTAAAAAAAACTATAACCAACAGGAACTATGGGCAAACATACAGCATGAAGCAGCACTGAGCACTTCCTCTCCAAAGCCTTTGCAGTAGACATCTGAAAGCAGGGCCTGTAAATTTGAAGTTGCTTAACCATGTTAAAGCACATTTTTTTTATCTTTCTGAACTCTCAACCTCTTTTTCTAAGTGTTCCTCTTTCCATTATGCAAGCTTGACCACAGACAGACGGTGGTTTCAGTGTTGAACTTAGTCAGTTCTTCCTTTTATTCTTTACCACGGCGCTTTATTGTGTGTGTGTTTTTTTTTTTGTGAGAAGTGTTGCCTCATGACAGTTTTCATTGATCTGTTTCCAGTTAGTTCAAGGGAACAAAAACTTGAATTGTTGGGAAAACTTGCTGCGGGTTTTCATACAACTTCGTATTCATTCATTCAATTATGTTGTCATTGCATCACACCATAAATCATTGTATCTTTAGTGTTTCTCTATGTGAATGACATATTGATATTGTTTAATTAACAACAATCCAAGTCACCAAATGTTGCAGGTGAATGTGGGAAATTAGATCACATTTAAACAAACTGACATGTAATTACATCTATATGTTAATGGCTGTGAGCACTTCTCTACATACTTTTTTCTCTCTGTACCTCTGTGTATGTGTTTCCTGCTTCTGTCCTCTTAAGCAAATCCAAACCATATCAGGATTCACTCCTTTTTAGTAACCTCAGTGCAGAAATAATGATTGAATCGATTTGCCCATATAAAATGAGAAAAAGAAAACATAACTCCACTACACCTCCAAGTGTAAGGAGCATATTTATAAGATGTGCTAAATGTTTACGCTGACACTGTTTAACATGTTTTTCTTAGAACTATATAACTTATACTGCTCCATTTGCTAGAAAGATGTCAGATGACCTTACACGGTCACTGAACAAACCATGTAGCGAAATAGATGAATATACGACAGTAGCCCACAGGCACGCATCAGCTTAATTCCTTATACATGTTCTTCCACACGTGGTTAGAAAAGATATTAGATAAGGCTCAACTTGGGTGAATCACACATGAATCTTAACTTGGGGGAAATGTTTCTGCAGCAATGTGAGTGTTTTGAATTATTTTGCGGAGGGAAAAGGGATTTCTTTGTGTGACGAGTCCCAGCACAGTGCTTCAGTCTTCTCTTTAGTATGGCACAGGATATGGTTTAATCAGTTCCCCTCTCATTCACGTGCCCTCGCTGTTTCTCCTGTGACCTTAGACGAGGAGTCCAGGAGCAATAAGGAGGCAAGGACGCAATTCAGAGAGCTTTGTGCAAAGCAATGCATCCCATTTGTCTGTCTTCCTTTTTAAAAAAAAAAAAAAATTTAGTTGCCAATTTAAATTAATTGTGCGTTTTCTGTCTCCCTTCCTTCTGTAGAAATCGGATCATGGCCAGGTGTTGCTGGATGCTGTCTTTAAGCACCTGGAGCTGACTGAGAGAGACTACTTTGGCCTGCACTTGGCTGATGACTCCTTAGATACGGCAGTCAGTATGATGTTTCTGATCTACAGAAAAGTGCGTGTGTGTGTGTGTGTACATGTGTTTGCCTACTCTAGAGATGCTCTGTATTTGGATCAGTAACATAAAATCAGATGCATCACAACTGTGTGTAAATAATTATCTAGAATGTGCATTGAGTGTTTGTGTAGTGTGCGTAGTATATTGATGTGTGTTTTTGTCCATGTGCACAGTGTTTGAGTATTTCTGTCAGGTGTGTGTGAATAATTTAGGGCGTGTGTATTCATGCTCTGGAAGCACGACGATGTCTCTAAGTGTCTCTCAATCAATATTTTACAGCGCTGGCTCGATCCCAACAAGCCCATCAGGAAACAGTTAAAAAGTAGGTGAAATCCACAACGTACCACCTTTACTAACCAGTCCAAGTCATTTTCAGAAATCAGCATTTAATACACTCAATTTCAAAATGTATTGTTGTTTGTTTGAAGCAGCAGTCTGCGGTCCAGCCTCAGTGACAGTTAAAAGTCCTCAAGCAAAAGTCTCCAGTCCACACTGAGAGTGATTTAATATTCTGAATCTGCCTTAAGCTATGATTAAACTTCATATCAACCCCGCTTTTTTTTTTTGTTGATAATGAGTAATAGAATTTGTAACATGTAGAACAATTAAGACGTAGCCCTAGTGAGAAATGCAGTCATCCTCAAGCAATGATTAAACTGTGTTTCAACTCTTGTTTTTATGCTGAGCGACTGATTCATTGAGGAATAACCACAGGATGTTGTATTTTACACATGGAGTTAGACTGGTGTGCTTGTATAAATTGTATAAAGGTTTGCCTAATTTACACGTTGAGTCATTTATTCCGCTTATTTATAACCTGTAGCGGTTGATGTCAGTGTGTCAGTCAGTGTAGCTTTCAGTCTGAACTTTTGGCTTCTCATTTCCTAAATTAAAACTTTTCAGGTGTTTTCTTTTTACAAGACACTCTGCGTAACCCCGTATATTCAGCATATACATTATCATCATATAAATTAATATTTCCCACATTCTCAGATTAACGTTCAAAGTCAATCACAGTAGCTAGCTGCACATGTTGTCTCCATCAGATCTGCCATGATCTGTGTTTTCCCCTCTAACTCTCCGTCATCATTTTTCCAGGAGGGTCTCCCCATAACTTGAGCTTCAGAGTCAAATTCTTTGTGACAGACCCCAATAAACTTCAGGAAGAATACACGCGGTAAGAAGGGTTTTGCTCAATGTTATGTGATGGAAGGTGTTAGGCTGGATTTATACTTCATGGAAGATGTTAACGTGGCTCTGGTGGTTTTGATTTATAGGTCAGTGTTGGATATCACCACCACAACTCTAGACTTATGTATCATACATGATCTAGTGTATTTATGTTGTTTCATTAAGAAATATGGAGCAATGATCTTGGTGAGCAGAAGGTTTGAAGTGGAAATGGCTTTGCTGGATGTGTGTTACTGAAAAAGAAAACTATTGAGTCTTTTTTAAGAATTGTTTCTATATATATCTAAATATACTAGTTGTTGAGTTTAATTGAACATGTTGATTGTGATTAATTTAGTTTCTAAGTGCCACACACACAGCTGAAAATAGGAGACATAATGTCCCAGAGCTCATCATGGAAGAAGGGACATACTGTATACTGTATGTGTATGAAAAATAAATGTATTTCCTTTCTGTAGATCTTAAGTGAACTAGACAATCATATAAAAATAGTTCTTCTAAAAAGAGGGATCTAATCATTGCCAATGGATTCCCAGGACCAGAGCTTCATTTTTTTGTTGATGCAACCTCATTAAAGAAAAATAAGAAAGCAGTATGTTTGGTATCAAGGCCTTAATGTGGACTCCAACCCACAGTTGTGCAAACATAAGGTCTGCACCACTGCGCTCTACATAAACAACATGCAGGGGAGGCGTCACAACGCCATATCGCCTTTCTGCCTGGTGTTTATTTCAGCCTCTCAGCCATGGCCTCGCTCCCTGAGCCCTAATAACACTTTGTATACAGCTTGTAACAGTGAATAGTGAGGCTTGGGTCTTACATGCTGATCTGGTGTATTGTAAATTCAAGTCACAACCAACACACAGTCCTGATAGCTTTGCTGGACTATGTTTATGACGTTGGTGGTGTAGTACACAGCGACATTCGGTTAACAGTACTGATAGCAAGAGCTAGGATGTCCAATGGCTCAGTGTTACTAGTAGTGGGATTCTCCTTTAAATTCAGTTTATACAGGATATATGTTATGAAATGATGAAGAATATCTATTTCTAAAATAAATCTGTATTATTTATGTTATGGCAAATGAGCTTTATTGTAATGAAACAGAGGCCTCTGCTAAAGGGTGTCTATTGATTTTACATAACAGGCACTTCCATCTATAATGTCACCATTATAACGTGACCGACAGGCATCTGTTGGCTGCTTGTCTTTACATCATATTATATTTAATTTAAACAGAGGTAATGGTTCGTTGGTCTTTTGTCCTAATGTGGTGTGTTATCCCCCTGCAGGTACCAATATTTCCTCCAGATCAAGCAGGATATATTAACTGGAAGGTGAGTATCTCTTGCCGCATAAAGAGCTTCTGAAATAGAATAATTCTCACTGCATTATAATTGGTTGTAGAGGAGAGCGTTAGTGGGTCTAAAGAGGTGTATGACTATAGGAAATATAAGTGTATATACATACACATACAAGAAAGTAAGCAATTTCAATCCTGCAGTTAAGCCTAATGGATACCTTCCATAATGCCCACGGTATTTATAACGTAGTCGCTGAGGTAACTTGATTGAAAGTCTGGCTTTCAGTTGCAGCAGGTCAAATGTGTGAATGAATAAGTAAATTGCATGCAGCTGTGCAGCGCCTTAAGCTTGTAACAAAAATAAAGAAATGAGTCGATGCTTCAAAGCTGCCGTATATGGATCTAAAAGTATCAAAATAACTTCAGTCTGTTCAAAAACTAAAGCGGAAACACAGCCAAAACTCTTGGTTTGCTTGCGTGTGGTTGAAAAACAATTTCTACTCCTTAAGTCACACACCTGTCTCAGTTTCTGTGTTGTAGTTCTTTAATATAACAACATAAATGGCTCCTACAGTTCTTAATATTATACTTCTCTCTTGGTTTCTTCAAATAAATGAAATTAATGTTGATGATTATTATTTACATTTCTATATTGCTGTTATTATCAATGATAAGTGATCCAAAACTCTATCTGTATGTGGTTCTTTCCAGATTGCCCTGTCCACACAACACAGCCGCACTGCTGGCATCCTATGCTGTTCAATGTAAGTAGCTCCTAAAGCTCCCTGGATACATCCACTCTACATAATGATGGAAAGGCTATTCATTAGGCCTCCCTTAAGCTACACACACTGTTAAATGTAATGACTGTGGTTGTTCCAGTGCTTTCATAGCTGGTGCTCTGAAGCCATTATGATTCAATTAAGCTGTGCGGTGATATTTGATATTATTTGCAGTGATATAAATATTCAGTGTGACTGTGGTTTGGTTTTTACAGTCGGGACTAGTCAAAAATCCCCATTATCGGCCAAGTGGAAATACGCTAGAACAATGACAGCTATGTATTATCTTTTATTTCATCTCTATTTATTGACTATAGGACAAATAAATATTTTTTTTAGATGCAATGTCTAATCAGATTTACTAGCTCTAGATTATATTGTTGCAAACAGTATCAACACTTTCATAATAAAAACCCAAATTTTGCTTCAGGCAACGCAATAAATGATCTCAGTACTTCCCTGTTTTGTTGTTCCTCGCTTACAACGCTGTTCAGACAGCTCATGGCCTACATTTTTCTAAAACCCAGAGTTTAAAAAACATCTCTACAGACTCTACAGACTAGTCAGTGCCAGTGGACGTTCAGCCTCAGCGCTAATCTCATCTACTGTTGTGATTTAGCGTTTGGGTTAAATGCTGACTGGGCCCCTCTGTCATGTGAATAATGACTCTTGACACACTGGTCTGTCTGTCTGTCTCACTCGCTCTTTCTCTTTTATTGCGGCTCATTGTTTGCGTGAAGCCTGTTTATCCTTCTGTCTGTTTCTTTCGTTTTTATCTCTGTTTAGTCTTTCTCATCCCTCTCTGCTTATCCCTTTTTTTTCCGCACAACTAAATCCCTTCCCCCTCTACTCTCTCCTTCTCTCTGTCCTCCACCTCTCTGGCATATTTTGCAGGGAATTTGCACTGCTACAGTATATAGGTCAGAGAAGAGATTTGGCCTAGACTACCAACATCATGACACTACTGCTTTTACCCACACAGACACACACTCTGTAGCTAGGTCCATGTTGTCACTTCGCTCAGTGCCAGCCCAGATTATGAAGATAAATGTTTGCTTTGGGAAAAACGGCTTGAAGCAGCTGCTATGCTGCTAATTCAGTTAGCTCGACCCCAAGTGCCAGCACTGATCACGCTAAATCCCACACTAAAGCTTGCATTCTCAAAACACAGCAAATCCCACCCAGTAGACCTAAATCCTTGTTTAAAATTGACCAACTGTCCGATAACCATAGCAACGCCTTCCTCAGAAATGAGGCATTTTGGTTAAAAAAAATAAATAAAAAAAATGAAATGACACATTTTTGTTTATTTTAAAGCAGTAGATGTGGGATTGTGTAATTCAGCTTTATCTCAAATGTTACATCACCAAACACAAGCTGGTCTTCACTGAGTTCCATAGTGTTTCTTGTGTTAATTTATTGATATTGACTGTGGTGGTAAACATACAGTCATGTCTTCTGTTAATAAACAGTTAATTGTTAATGAAGGGAAAGCATACACACACGCACACACTTGCGTGCAAACACACATGGACTAAATTACCCCCAATGCCTGTAAACCCATCATCACAAATGAAGAGTTAAATGCCTTGTTTGTGCTTAATTGGTCAATAGCATAATTTATAAGGAGCCTGATCCCGAGCTATCCTTTCCGCTTTGAGCCAGTATACAGCAGAGTATAGATTTCACATCACAATTTGAATATATAAAGAGAGATCAGGTTGTCAGCTTCATTGGCCTTAATATCGGACCTTGTTGAAGTAAGCATCAGCATAAAATAAAACCAACACTAGCCTACTGTTCTCAGATGTAAGGTATTGACTTTACATACTGTATTCCTCCCTGGAGCTGTGTGCACATCAATAAGCGGGTGAGCTTGAATTGATTCGTTGGTCAATATGCTTAGGCTACTGGCTAGTAGGTTAGTCCAGGGACTACTTTAGTGAATTGATGCTTTTGAACCACAACCGCCAGCTTCTGAGCTAATGGCTTTGGGGATTCTCTCTGAAAGCTACCAGAGATCTGGGAATCATTTCACCCTGCTTGTTATATGCAATCACTCCCTTCTTCATTTTTTTGTATAAAAAACAACAGTATTTTTGATCCTTGATCCTTGTTATTTTAAACCACATTTAAATGCCTCTGCCCGTCTGTCAAATGAAATACATTCATTAGAAAAGAGCCAAAGCACAGTTTTTAATTCCAAATTAAATATGCTTGCTATTTATTTTGTCATGTTCTTTAAGATATTTATCATATTCACACACAGTTCTTGCGTCGGCCTGGACTAACTTGATACATGTTCACACGCTGATGGCTCAGCTGCTCTGATAATATCATTATAAAAGGGCTGTGTCGCTGTTCAGCCCTGAAAACCTGCAAGGGCACAAACACATGCAAGCTCAAAAACAAATGATTTTAATCAACTGATGCCGTCAATATGCTTTGACACTCGGAGCACATTCAGTGTCTATCCTTTATGTGCTTGTAGTGATAATACATACTTTCTTAACAGAAGAGGATTGTCAGAGGCTGTGAGAAATTCACAGCTAAGGTGTGAAGATTCATTTGTTTTTGTTTTTTTACACCATTGTAACTGTGGTCATTCCAGTGCTTTCCCATGAAAACAAATGCACACCCAAAGCAGATAAGATGGCGGAAAGATTAAAAAGTGTGAGATGATGGCTGAGGAAGAACGTGCAGAGAAAGAGGGCCAATTAACAAGTGCAGAAGAATTCCTGCGTGTCATTGGTTTGGTGTTATTTTGGTTAATGATGAGCCAAAGCATGCAGACATTCATAAGAAGAAATCTGTCAGTGAAGATAGATATTGCCAGCACTGGCTAAATGGTTTTCATGCCAATAGACCATATTGGCAGTGCCATCATATTTTGGCAGGTCTGGCACTAATAAGCTGTCAGACTTTTTTAGGTCATGGACAGAAAATGGTACAAGCTGAAAAAAGTTGGAATCACCAGTTTGAATAATAGCAAATGTTTATGACCAATATCTACTTTTGCTGCTCTTCACTTTTTCTATTTAATTGAATTAATTGTTTTCATTTTTTCTAAGCTATTTGGCTCTACCAGTGCATGTTTTCGGTAACCCTTTATTTGGGTTGTCCGCCTACAGATTATAGAGTTAATAGAGTATTTGTAACACTTCGCTTTGTCTGTAGATGTTGTGATAATTCATGAACAAACCCTAACCAAGATGTTTTTTGTGCCTAAACCTAGCCAAATCCTTAACCTCAGTGGTCTGGTATAAAAAAAACAGTTGTTGAATCTCTACTAATTAGCTGTTGAAATGTCGACTATCCAAATTAAGAAGATTGAACAGAAATGACAATTGCTGTTTTCAGCCAATCCCCCAGCAGTAGGTAAATTCAGTCCAGCATAGCTCGCTTTATTAAACAAAAAATCAATGAATTACAATCAGTAATCACATCTCACTTATTTTTTGAAAAGGTTAATCATGCAGCATACCTGTGCACAATGAGTGCCATCCTTATTGTTATCTCATTATCTATCTATCTGTGCATAGTGTTGATGCATTTACATTATATTAATCAATATTTCTTTCTCTCTCTCTCTGTGTGTAGCTGAGCTGGGGGACTACAATGAAACGGAGCATACAGCAGGATATCTGTCGGAATACTGCTTCGTCTCCAATCCCCCACAAGACTTCCACAAAGAGGTCTCCAAACATCACCAGCAGCACAGGTACACTGAGACACACAAACAAGCACATTCAAATGCAAGTACAAATACATGGGAACTGACACCAAAATGAATTGGATGCCAAAGATTAATGTATGTCCAGATAAAGAGGCTGTTGATGCCACTGTCATGTCAAATATTGTAATAATGACGCCATTTGTTGCAGTAAAAGCAAAATAATTCTGCCAACAATGTGCATCATATTTAGAACTGACAAAATAGTCAAATATTTTTTTATTTTCTTGAGAAATATGTAAGAAAACTCACTCCCACACATACATTATGATGCACTATGACACATGCCACCAACCTTTATTCCTGCTGTCATTCATATCTCTGTTCGCCCGTTTCTTTTGTTTGCCTTTGTGCCCTTCCCTTTCTCTCTCTCCTTCTCCATATGTCTCTTTAACACACACACTCTCTTTCTCTCTCTCAGTGGTCTATCTCCTGCCCAGTCAGAGTTTAATTATCTGAACACAGCACGCACGCTGGAGCTCTACGGGGTAGAGCTGCACTATGCAAGGGTAAGTAAGGTTTTATTTTGCGACTGTTAACACTTGTCTGCTTTGGTGTGTGTGTTTGTTAAAGACTGATTTATATACAGTTTGTGTTTCTGTGTTTCTGTTTGTCTAGTGCCTCATATTTCTTTCTCCAGCACAAGCCATGTGGCCTGTTAGACATGTCAGTGTATCTGTGATCTCACTCCAGTTGTCTCTCTCCCCCCTCTCCCCAACAAAAACCCTGAGCAGTACAAGATAATTTAGTCCATATCAACCTTCAATCAGTGGCATCAGAATTTATAGAATAAAGTCCCAATCTGCAGCCCGCTGTCACAACATGGTTGATCTGACGCTGTTTTTGAGCCGCTGGAAGAAATGAGAACAGGTTGGAGGAGCTGCAGTGTGTACAGTTGGTGTTGATGCCTACATCCAGTAGAAATACCACACATTGGCATTCAGCTCTTACTGAAACAGCAACAGATAGTAGCTGAGTAGCCAAGTCATTTCATGTATTTCTGTCGAATAGTCATCACATGAATCTCAATCTACAGTAAAAGCTGAAGACTGTTGAAGGGATAAGAACTATGTTCACATCCACTATAATGTCACGGAGGAGTGGAAATTGTGTTACCAATCTTTTATGGATTGGGACATTAACTTTGTTTCATCCTTAATGTACATAAAATCAAAATTTCAAAGTATGCAATGTATACTTTGAAGAAATATAAAGGCCATTCCTTTAATAGTGTAACCTGCTCCAGGCTGGTTTTCCAGTTAGGGCAATTCATGATTATTGATTCGGTGTATCAAAACTGTAAGAGAATCAATTTTGTTTTCTGCATAAAGCAGCACAAGACAAACATGTTTCAGCACTCTGTCATCATCAGTATCACATTGCACATGCAGGATGTCCAGTTAATACCGTATAAAATTACATTTCTAAATTAGATAATCAATTACGACAAAAGCCTAAACATGTTGAAAGGTCTTCTCTTATTTACTGTAGATGTTTTTTGGACCCTGGCCCCTCACAAACTCTGGTCTTATCCCACACAGATTCTTATTTCCACCTGTGTGGCTTTCTTTCAGTGTATCACTGATCTCTTCTCTTTGTTTGAGGCAGGTTGTCTGTTTTCAGCAACGTCCGCTTGTTTTGTAGCAGTGAGGAAGCTAATCCAAAAATGTCTTGCTGTCTTTTTTTCCTTTTTTCTTTTCTCTGTTGTACTCTGTGTCTCCTTCACATACTCTGTTACCCTCTCTTCAGGACCAGAGCAACACAGAGATTCTTATTGGGGTGATGTCTGCCGGCATTGTTGTTTACAAGAACAGGGTACGGATCAACTATTTCCCATGGTGAGTGATATACACACAAAACCTTTAAATGTTGAGTGTTTCTGTGAGATTTATCTGCAGCCATTCTTAATCCAGTAAGTAGCCATGAAAAAGTAAGAACCAAAAAGTGAAAATACCGAAGCAAAGTGTTTTTCTGATTACTTAGAGTGTGGGGAGAGGCAGAAGTTGTGGGTGGTTTTGGTGAGAACTTTGGGACCAATGATATCATATCAGATTTGTCACAGTTCAGTTTTAGAAAGTTGGCTTGCATCCATGATTTAATTTCAGTGAGGCAGTTGGTCAGGGTGGAGTGAGTTGCAGTGGCGATGGATTTAGTGGATGTGTAATCATCAGCACAGCAGTGGAAATGGAGGCAATGAAAACAGATGAAATCACAGAGAGGGGAGCAGGAAGAGGATGAACAGGAAAGGACCAAGTACTAAACCCTGTGGGACGCCTCGGAAGTGAGGGGCAGTGGGAGAGATGCTGCTGCTTTTAGCGCAAAATCTGTAGTTTCAGTTAGGTAGCTAGTGAGAAATTGGTTGGAGAAAAAAATATCATCAGAAAGGAATCAAAAATAAAACATACAGGCCTTTTCAAAGTGTACCTGCGAGCAAAACTGCTGTTTTTTTATTCAAGACACAAAAGAAGCTCGGTATCAGAAGTTCGACAGTTTCAGTTACACCTGCTGAAAGCCCAAAAACAAGGTTGCTGAAAACCAACTGTTTCAGTGAAGCTACTCTGTGGCCAACAACAGAAAACCTGGCAGCTCTCAGGTGTGAATGAGTGGAACTGTGGATGGGACACAGAGCACTGCTAGAAAGAAAACAACATATCCATTGATATTTTAATTCTAAAAAACACAGTCACTATTAGCAGCTTCACCAGAACAGATGAACACTTTGCTGCGTTGCTTTCTGTAGTTCCAAAACTAGAGAGCCAGATTTCCTCTGATCTGGGGAATCAAACTGTGGATGTTCTTGTCACAAACTCACCTCTCTGTCCATCAGTCTCCTGCCAGCTCCACTTGAACTGCCTCCAGGGACCCTTTTTGCTGAGAAATACGCTGTGTAATATGTTGGTAACCTCTCACAGAGTGATAATGACATGGCATATTAATGTTTAAGCCTCAGTTGATCTTTTCTAGAATTATGCAGATGATTCCACCAGATATTTCTAGCGGAGGGGAGGGGAGGGCTTCGTGTTAAACTAGGTTTCCTGGAAATATTATATACATCAAATCTGCCTGCTCTCCTTTTCCCTGTGTCTTTTATTAAACTCTTTCCGTCTAATTCGCTTACTCTTGTCACTCTTTATGTCTCTTGCTCTCGTTCCCTCTCTAAAGCATTGATTCTTGGAAATCTCCCATACTCTGCTGCTGCACTGTGGGAGGCTAAATGTTAATGGGTGCCGGGGGTGGGATAGTAACTACTCAAATCCCTGTAACTCCGGAAGATAATTCACTCGTGTGTAGGCTTAACACACACACGCATACACACACCCCCACCCCCTGACCAAATGCACATAGCAGCTGGTGCGTGTATGTGCGTGAACGTCACTGAATGTCTGACAACAGTAAGATGTTTGTGGTAAGACTTGTGTGCGTACTGATGTAAGGTTTGTGGAATGAAAGATTTTGTATTACTGATATTGTGGGGACCCAGTTCATAACTCTGGGGATTCGCCTACCATTTGGGGACAAAAAGCCAAACCGTGAATTTTTTATGGTAAAGACTTGGGTTTTTGGTCAGGGTAAGGATAAGTCTTCATGGAATGAATGTAAATCAATGCAAAACCCTCTTAAGTATCTAGTCAGTTGAGCTAAATTTAGAGACCAACAGTGGTGTCCCCAGCAGCTGTCCACTACCATGTGTGTCTCTCAACCCCATACTCCCTGATTTTCTTCTTTCTTCATCCTCTCTTTAACAAAGGCTCACTGTTTCTACGTCTGCTTTAGTCCTGTCACTTCTCACAGTGAATCTTCTTGTCACTTTTTTTTCTTCCATTTCTTGTTATAAATTGAACTGTAAGATAGAGTAAGGGCAGGGTCAAGAGTGAGAGAGAGAAACATTTAGACTTTTGCCTCTTTCCTATTTCTGTCCACAGCAGCCTGACAAATGAGCCACACTTAGATGGGGCATGACTCACGCTCTGCCTAAGCGTGTGTGTGTGTATGTGTGTTTGTCCATGCAAGTGTGTGTGAGTAAGTATGTAAAATATATTTAGCAGGGAGCGATGAGTCACAGCAGCAACAGAGCTCTAGGGAGGGATTATGTTACTCTGCTGCTCATCAGCAGACCTCTTACTGTGGCCATGCGTGTGTGGTCTTCTGATTCGAACATTATTTTATACCGTTTCTTCCTCTTTAGACGCATGACTGGGTAATAGACAGATTGATGAGAAAAGATGAACCGCTAGGAGACTCCAGTTCGTCATACTCTTGTAATCCACACCCTCCAGCTATGGAAGGAGGAGTGGGTCGGAGGTTAAATGAACAGTTGGGATGTGACAGCTTTCTCAAAGAACAGGCGATTCAGCGTGTGCCTTTCTATTCTATTTATTGATTTGTGAAAGAGAATTTTGGACCTGCCGTGCTTTCTGTCTACACTGCCAGTAATGAAACCCTCAGCTCACCTGTATAGTGCTTTGAATGTGGTGGACTGAAGCAAGAGTATGGCTAAGCTTCAACCTTTGCGTGACAAAAGATATTTATATTTTACTTCTAAGAACATTATCTTCCCGCATAGCCAGCTAGCTACTTAGAAAAATAGTGACAGAAAAATATCCCCCCAAAAATGATATTTTTGGGGAAAATAGCCCCAAAAATGTACTTTATTTTTGGTTGTTTCTGAAAATCGTTCTGGGTTTGAATATTTCACTCAATGTAAACATCATATAGCTTTAATGATCAAACTGAACAGAATATATATTCCAGGCATTGTAGAATAAGCTGAATAACCTTAAAGTGAATTCAACGGGGAACAAAAAAGGCATAAGATATTGTTATAAGCATGGACAAAATTAAAAGCATCAATGATGAAATTACCTTTAAAGTTACTGGTAATAACCATCAAATATTATCACAATAACTGGCCACGGCTATTAGGAGGAGCACCGTTCAGCAAATAATGAAATTAAAAAACACTGATCATAATGTAAAACATCAGGCGTGACGCTGCAAGTACATGACACCATTTTGTTGTGTTACTGTATTATTTTGCATGCTTATTGAAATGCCCAAAACACATTCTTCATCTATTTTAGAGTAAAACAATGTTATGATTTTTGAAGTGCTGTATGATTTGATTCCTTTTTACTGTAACAAATTTATCAAAATAACATTTGTTTTTAAGATTTTCACACTGCCTACTCCTGACATTTTCCACAGTTCAACGACTGACATTTAGCTAATAAAAATGTAACATCAGTGTCTCAATACAGGTCCATTAACTATGGAGACACTAACTTCTTGTTTTTTCTTTTTCCTGCTTCCAGGTTGAAAATAGTGAAAATCTCCTTCAAGTGCAAACAGTTCTTCGTCCAGCTGAGAAGAGAGGCGGTAGGTGTACAGACACACACAGACACACACAGACACACACAGACACACTTATTAACCACCACCGCCCTCCCACAATTGTGTCTTGTTTGCGAACAGATAAAGTGTCTGTCTGTGTCTGTCTGTGTGTTTCTGTACATACTGACTGTGTAAATGTGTGTATATTCTGTAGATACCCTGAAGATGTTAACTGAGTTGTGTCTGCACGTGTGTGTGTAATCAGTGTCAGATTAACCCCCTGCTGTCTGTGTCCTGGTTGACTCTGCTTTAATCCCCCCACTGCGTCCTGCATTCCTTGTTTGACACATGGATCTCTTTCTATTCTGCATGGCCATCATTCATCCTTCTTACATTGCCCTACAAAATTTAAGCCTTTGTTGTCTAGACAGTACAAGAACATTTTAGTTATTACTGAGATTTCGCAGTTAAATGATACAGTTATTTTATTTTTCATTTTTTGTCTCCCATTTCTTCTCTCGGCCTCCTCCCTGAATGCATCTAGAGAGCTGCACTGGCCTTGAACATATGTTTGTATATGTACACAACCTGCCTGTTACATTAACTTCCTAATATAATGAAAGGCATAATCGTCTTGGCCTAGTTTAAAACGTTGTGATTTATTATATCATACTTTAATTTTGATCTACACACTGCCTATCTTTACTGCATGTATATATCGTTACTTGGATTACTGTTACATTTAGATAAACTGGCTGAATACTGGTCAACCACTGTCACTCTCATGTTGAATGCCAAAATGTTGCTCGGTGGTCCCACTAACTGCTGTCTCCTCCTTCCCGCACGCAGACTGAGACCCGGGAGACGCTGCTGGGTTTCAACATGGTGAACTATCGGGCCTGTAAAAACCTGTGGAAGGCCTGTGTGGAGCACCACACCTTCTTCAGACTGGAGCGGCCCATCCCACCACAGAAGAACTTCTTCGCTCACTACTTTACCCTGGGCTCAAAATTCAGATACTGGTGAGAACAAGAGGGCACACACACACACACACACACACACACACACACAAAAAAGGAAATTTGAGAGAATCGACAGGGCACACAGAGAATCTGTTAAAAAATCATGCCTTGACAGCCAGACTTTGACAGACTGACATGTACACTCACATATTCAGACACACAAGACCCAGACTTGTGGATGCGTTGTCTATGTATTTCCTTCCGTCTCACTCTCAGCAATAGCCCTGCCTCAGGGAACCATCTACAGAAGTGCATGTTTGTTTGGAAGTTGATGCAGTTGTTTCGCTTTGGGTTGAGAGACTGATACACTGGAAGGCTAGTGGGTGCCTCTCATGCTGTCTCCCCCCAGAAAACCACTGTTTAATTATTCAGGGTTTACCTTAAAAAAAATAAGAGGAAAAAAGAACTTTTGTGTTTGGGCTTGCAGCTGTTCTTTGATGATTTAAAGGAATAGTTGGTGTGTTTCTGTCCATGTGCAAGCATCATGTGCAAGTTGCTTCACAGACATTGGTTTCACTGGTGATATACTGTACATTTCACGGCAACTGAGAAAACAACATAAAGTCACTTCTGCAAACATTTTACTCAGTACTGTATGATGCCATTTCCTTGTGACAACTTAGTTTCACTTCATTGGGAACTTTTTTATTTCCTTTTTCCTTGAAATTTGAGTGAGATATGAACTGAGAGTTGGAGGTCTTGTGATGCATTATTGAGCAGAAGTGATGCAATGCAAGTGAGCCTCCCTCTGATGTTTGGCTTAGCTCTGTGTGTATGTGTGTGTGTGTGTGTGTGTGTGTGTGTTTTCTCACCCTTACTGTAAGATGCTGACTGACTTTATAATAAAATTTGTGTTTTTACATGATCTCCATCTTGTATATGTTGTTTTGCACTTGGTTGGTTACTGGCTGGCAGAAGTTCAACTCTTAATGCTGGTGACCAACGGATGACGGATTGCTTGATGAACTGGTGCTTTCATTGCTCAATTGCATGGCTGAATCTATCGATTAATTAAGTAATCAAGTATTCTATCTATTATTCCATCAATTAATGGAGTAATCAGAAACAAAATACATTAACTTAATTAAAGCAGTAGAAATAGAGCAATAGTAAATATAAAATAGAGAAAATAAGACATCTTTTACATTAGTGTCTGAGGTTTTTCTGGGATTTTTTGAAATTGTGGTTTTAGTACTTTTACTTCAGTAAAGAATCTGATCCTTGCTCCACCCACAGCCTGACTGCACTGGGTGTTACCAGCCGAGCCTTCCCCTTTAAGAAAGGTGGGCTTGTGGGTAACTTGTGCTGGTTTATTGTAGGCAGGTGTCTTTCCCGCTGTGTCAAGGTATAGTCACGTTACTTTCGTCAGCCATTAAGTGTGTAGATAAGTTCAGGTTGCGGTGTAATAGTTACTGTATGTTGTGTTTGCTGCCACAGAAAAATAAAAAGTCCATGTTTCTGTAACTTGATGGTAACACAGTGTCTTCTTGCACTATTCACAGCTGAGTTGGTCCAGACTGTGGACAGCTCGTTAGCTATCTAGCAGATATGAAGCGTGTTGTGCAACAGCAATAATCATCAGTACACTGTATTGCTGTATATAGTTATATGGATTAAACAAATATCACTGTTGTCATGTGTGATCGGGAAATAGGGCAAGAAGAAGAAATTACTTTTTGTAGCCTTGCTGAACCCAAGAGTTAAAGATTTTCAGCCTATTTCCCTTCAGTTAATGTTTTCCATGACAGTCCAATGAATGTTGTTTTTGTTGTTTCTGTGTCTAGCGGGCGGACGGAGGTGCAGTCTGTGCAGTATGGAAAGGAGAAAGGCATCAAGGACAGAGTGTTTGCCAGGTAATCATCATGTCACTCTTGGTTAGTTGAATCTAGCCGTTAGAAGCCTTTAAGGGTACATAAACAAAAATCTATTGTATTGTTACTATTGTTTTTATCTTGGCCACCACTGAATGAATGTCTTGGTCTCCGCAGATCTCCCAGTAAGCCATTGGCCAGGAAGCTGCTGGGCGGAACCGACTGGGAGTCGGTCAGCAGGAACAGCCTATCGGATGAGAGACTGGAGACCCAGAGTTTGCCCACTCGCTCACCTCCTGGGACGCCCAATCAGTGAGTCCAAGTTTCAGGGTTCCTACTTAGTTGAGGTTGTGGAAATTTAAATGTAATCAGAAAGACAAATAAATTTTTAAAGCAACTACAGATCAAGATTTTTTAAGACGCTGGAGAACATGTTCTGTTCTTGTTTAGTGAGCAGCCAGGTCTGCCAGCTGCAAAAGAGATTATTTTTTAAGCTAGGAAGTCTTTTCAGAACTGTACCGGCAAATATTTATGATGCAGAAGTGTCCTTAGTGTCCAACCACAACCTCTGACTTACTTCTGTCCCCCAAAATCAAGAAACATTGCATAATTTCATATCCATTCCTGCATTTTGCCTTAATAATTAATAGTTTCAGTATCAATACCAAGACAACACTTAACCTTACAATAACTTTGCCTAAAAAAAAAAAAAGATGATTGAAAAAAAAAATAGAAAGTGAAGCAGCAGAGAGAATTTGTCAATATCCTCTTTAACATTATGTGTCTTTGCATTTGCTCGTCAGGAACTCGCTGTTTGTACAAGAGGGCACACGACTACGACCGTCATCCGTTGGTCACCTAGTGGATCACGTGATCCACGCTTCGCCGAGTCTGCCTGTCTTCTCCTCCAATCACAAGTCGGCATCGTCCACGCAGGCCAACAGCATCAGCTTGGACTCCACACCGTAAGTCTCACCCCTGCTGGGCGCTTGATGAAATTACGACTGATGGGGGGGAAAGAAATCTTTCTTTTCTCTCTCTGTCTCCTTGTTTTTGATGCACTCACTTTCTTTAATGCTGTTTCTCTTAGGGGGGAAAAAAACCTTTGACTTTCACTCTAAATTAACTCCCACATAAATACAGCACCCCTCCAAAACTGCCGCCCTTTAATTCTGAAGTTTAATTTTACTCATCAGTGTTAGTGCCACTCTGTCTGACTGTACTGCTGAGTTGACTGGTTTTTAAATGTCTGTCTGTGTCTGTGGCTTCTCCCAACAGTTCACACCCTCTCCCAGTGTCACTTAGTCGGCCTCATTGAGAATATGAACCCTTTGAAAAACAGCCTGTAAAATGTGTTTATAGAGGGTAGCAGGGCGGAGAGGTTGTACAAACGGGCTAAGCTAGAAATTAGTGTGTATGTGAGTCACACTATAAAATATCTGGCGACAAAGTTCCACATTTCTGTTTCAAGGCCTGAAAGCCTATGAGTAAAGTTTGTACAGCTGTCCATAATGGATTCTGAAAATGGAAAACACCAGTATTTGGAACCTCTTTCTTCAACACTGACATACCTCACCTTCTAATCCTCTGACAAACATTGACTCACAGTGTTGTCGCATGGCTTTCGGGAGTTTGGTATTTGATAGCTAATTGATCACACATTGCTCCATTGCTCACTCAATCAGCGATACTTGATGGAGGCTGTGTGAGCCTCTGTCTGAGATTGTGCAAATCTAACTGCAGTTATCAAAACCAGTTGTTCTCAATAAAAAAACAACAACCTTAAAGCCCGTAATAAATTCTCTGTTGGAGAATTTTTATATATTGAGTTAGAAATAAGCCCTGAGTATAAGATGCACACATGTTCTGTTGGCCTGGACCGGTTTGTGCTCAAGTGTGTGTGATTTGAATGAGGGAAAAGATGCATTGTGGATATGGCAGAGAGAGAGAGAGAGAGAGAGAGAGATGGGGGGGTTGGAACATTTCTCAGTTGGAAATCAGAGTGGTTAAGTAACATTACAGTGGTAGTTCCGCTGCCTACAAAGCTACACACACACACACACACACACATACAGACACACGCCAAGTCGTTGGCTCATCGCTCTGTTACAGAGCCAAAAGATGACATAATCACCTGCTCTTTCTTCCTCAGACAACACACACCTTATTCTTGTATATTATTTTATTGGCTTCATGTGGTTGATCCATATTAGTCATCCCCACAACAACACATCAATACCCACCTTAAGTACCCACTTTTCTGAAATCACATTTTATGCTTAAATAATCACCCCTAAAAAATTGTTAAATAATTTGGTTGGTGGTCCATTTTTGCAACATCTGTTCTCCGTCAGTTTGTTGACAGATGTTTGAATAACTACATTCAGCTTGTAGCACAAAAGCCATTCGCCATAATGTTAGAAGAAGTAAGATGAAACTGAGCTTTTTACATGATGTCTTAACTTGATATCTTTCTGTAAATAGAGTTCGACAAGTACTGTATTGCAGGCAGAGGAAACTTGGTGTGAATTCATTTTTTGCCAATTTCAGCATCCCAAGTTCCCCATCTCCCAGTTTTCTTGCAGATTTTTTTTTTCACTCTCTTAATTTGGAACCATGAAAAAAAAAAAAAAAAAGATGAGAAAAGAAACCTTTCAGAGCTGGGCCTTCCTAATCTCAAATATTCAGAAAATAGTTTGCTGGTTACCATTTCTAAAAGAAAATTATTGTCAAAAGAAAGAAACTCGCATTTTCTATCGTCTCTCTTAGCTTTGGTGGCTCCAGAATTTCCTCCTCCAATATTTTCAGGTCCATCACTTTACTCAGGCCCATAATCCAAATTTTCCCAATGCTCCTCCAAGATTTTCCTCCAATAAAAACTAAATTAGAATCTGCTTTTTCTCCCACAGGCCACAGTTATACACTGTCAGCTCCACACATGTAGCAATACAACAAAGCCATAACCCTTGGGACACACTCTCTATAATGTTCTGTATTTAGTTATGTAGAGTGAAAATTATCTGTTTAGCTAACCACGCCACATCACAGTGATAGTTTTTAAAATGCTGTGTCTTTATAACCCATGACAGTGTCAGGGAACAAAAAGGTGCAATTATACAATATACGGTACTATAACACAACATTGCATCCAACAGTGTGGTATGTTGTGATAAATTACTTTGTATGCTATAATCAGACACTTTTCTTCATAAATGCAAAGCAAAAGTTGCATTTGGAAATATAATTTTGTTTAAAAACTACTGGGTGTGCACTAAAAGTGTCTTTTGGTGGTGCAACATGGTGCTTTATAGCAGCTTGTTTTTAGTCTTCCCATGTACTCGCATGTGATTAGTCTGTCGCTATGCACACTCATTTAGTTCTGTCCTCCGTCAGGCTTTCAAACTTAAAAAGCAGGGCTTCGTTATGTCCTGTGTAGACAATCTCCCTATCCCAGGGCCTTGGCTAAGTTGTGGTGAGGTATGAAGATACTTCCATATCCATTTCCCTCGTCTGTGTCGTGTCGAGGAAATGCAGTCATGTAGGAGGATGTGCCGTCTTGGCTCATGCCTGCTGTGCACTGCCCTCCTTCTGAAAGCCTGACCTGGTTTTGACCCATAATAAATGTTAGTTTCAGTGTGTGTATTTAAGACACAAAGTGGCACCAGTAGCCGCAGCCAAAACAAAGGCAATGCTCTTTGACTGGTGCTCTCGCCCCTAAGGAGTGCCTGCACACAGCCTCACACACGCACACTAACGGACACAGACATGGAGTGAAATGACTGGCTTTTACCCCCCAGAGAGTGAGACATGGTGCTTCTGAAAGCCTTACCTGACTGGCCGTGTTGTTTCATCATACACACTGACTGCCTTTTATTGTCTGGATGATGGAGGGGAGTGTTTTCCTTCCTCTTGCAGCCCTTTTATTGAGGTTAATGCATTGTGACTAACACAGTGCTATTAAGCCTCTCTGTCTCTTGCAATCTCTTTCTCTTTCACTCCCCTGTTATCTGTTTTTCTCCATTCATCTGTTTTTCCTTTTCTACCAAAGCCCACCTCTTTAACAAACAGGACAATCTTCAGCTAGACCATTACTTGTGTCTTTTGCTTTGTGCCTTTGATGTCCCTCCATCTTTAAAAGGCCAGGTTGTTTCATCAGTAGTTATGCTGTTAAACAGCAAGATAGGGATTCATTTTGTAATTATGTACAATTGTAATGAGTAGTCATTTTTTTGTTCTTTACTGAATAAGTGTGATCATATAGAATAGTGGTAAAAAAGGGAATAAAAACCAGATTGCATGTGAAAAATACTTGTTTGCGTCAAAAACTAAACTCATTATTTCTGTCTCCTTCTCTCTGTCCCTCCCTCAGGTCTCCAGAGGGGCTAGACAGTCAACCTCCAGCTCTGCCCCCCAAGCAGCTGAGCAGAAAGACCTTGAGCCAGATCATCCAGGCCCACTCCCAGCAGAGCCTCCTGGATAACCACCTCAACGAGATGTATGATGTTCCTGTCAATGCTGACAAGACCACGGTCAGTATGGCAGCATGAAACAGTAGCAGTCATTTCACTGCATCATAAGTCTGCAGTAATTAATACTTAATTAACATTGAACAAAATCACATTGTGTGATATAACAAGTTCCGTATAGGACTGAAATGACGGAGAATTACCACATATATTCAGCTCTAAGAAATGTTTTCATGCCTTTTTTTAGCTTACTGTTTTGATTTTAAAGCCAGAACATGTACTGTATATAGTCTCAGCTGCAGTCATCAACATCCCGATAGGCAGCCAGTTCCAGCAAACACTCTAGTTTGTCTAGGTAAGGTTAGTGAATCTGTTACTTTACCGAGACAAAGTTAGTGCAGGGTTGGTGAACATAATTGAACATCCAGAATGCTAAAAGGAGAGTTAATATTGGCCCTCAATTTGTCAGGTTACAAATGATTATGCTGGTGTTGCTCTGTATTTGCTGGTGTGAGAGTAGGCATTTGTTTTATTGTCTGTGGGGGTGTCTGTCAGCTTCTTTTGATATTTTTCTCTGCCCACTTGTAGCCAAAAAATTAACTTTTGACACTGTAAATCCTGATGTTACATTGAAGATGTGTTTGTATTCCAGTCAAGTGCAAATTGAATGAAACAGTATAATGGAGTAACTTTTTGGCCAAACATTATCAACCAAGTCATAGCCAATATTCCTGTGCCCCAGAGGAGGGCGGTATGGAAGAGAGTAGTGTTTGAATTTCATATATTTGTGTTCAACTTTGCTGTTGCAGCTAAATGGAGTTGTCCCTCATGATAATTTGGTCCTAATCAAGATGAGACCTGATGAACACGGACGTTTCGGCTTCAATGTCAAGGTGAGAGTTGACGATAGTTGGGACAACTTTGTATATATAATAAATAATAAAGATATAATGTATCTTTTTATATATATTATCTTTCTTTTCCTTATTTTTTTATGCTAAGAAGTCAAAACCCTTTGAACAAATTGTCTTCATGCATCATGACAAATTCCATACTCTTTAAATATTAGCTCTTCCCCAGAAATGAAGGACATTTGTGGAAAGCTTTGTGTTGTTAACTGATGTGCGTTTGTGCATCTCCAGGGTGGAGCTGACCAGAAGATGCCCATCATTGTGTCTCGAGTGGCTCCAGGAACATCAGTAAGTCAGCAACCGCCCCATGCAGTCACTACATGACTATAACTACATTTTCTTTCAATAATAAAACAAATGCAGCCTCGCAAATAGCTGACTATTTTAGAAATGAAAGTTTCAAAATGATTTATCTCATCTTTCTCTGTCTTTCTGTCCGTCTTCAGGCTGACCTGTGTGTGCCTCGCCTTAACGAGGGGGACCAGGTGGTCTTAATTAATGGACGTGACATTTCTGACCACACCCATGATCAGGTTGTCATGTTCATCAAGGCCAGCTGTGAGAGCCACTCTGGCGAGCTCATCCTATTGGTCAGACCGAATGGTGAGTGGTTCCCATTGGTTGGAATGTACTGGGTCTACGTCACCTTTTATCTTTGACAAATACAAGAGATGGTCATTAAGGAACTGGAAAAACAAGACCGTGTACTTCAACACAATTACACTGACGTTGGACTGTATTAAAGTGTAATGTATTCTTGTTATTTTGTCCACCTCCTGTTTATTTTAGCTTTGATAAGAGACTAGAAATCTAGAAAACTGTCTCTTAGAAGAAGCTTTTCCTAATTTACAAACAAGTTACTACTAAGTAGTTTATAAAAAAGGTGATTTAATAACTTGGGTTGCTAAGGAATGTCTTAGATACTAAACACCTCATGTAAATCGGTTGCTAGGAGACATCTCTGCTGTCCAATCAAAAGCAATCACCAGTATGAACAGGAAGTCAGGAAGGAGGCCAAGCGATATATGAACCGATCTTAAATATAGGTGTGATCTTTTTTCAGTTACATTAGCTACATTACAGTTATAGCTAGCAGTTGCTGGGTGTATCTGTTTAGTAACAACTAATCTCTGTGTGAGAACTACTTTATGTGGTGTAACCTGTTTCAGTTTAGTGATGCATGAACGTCTACTTAGACGATAACAAGGCAAAGCGTAACACAGGGATAGCTGGTGCTGCCCACTCCTGAAGATTAACAGCTACGCAAATGGTCTCCAGTTTTCCTTCCTCTGGTCTTTTCTGGACTGCTCAGTCTCTCTCTTATAATTTGAACAGAGCTCTACTGTTTGAAGTTGTACAGTGAGCTTTCTGTACATCTCAGCTATATGTATATTCACCATGTAGAGAGATGGCAAAGCCTTCCCTGTAATCAGCATCAACAAAGTGGAGGGAAGCTTTTAAAGATGATGAAACATGGAAATTCTTGGTATTTTAACTGGGTCAAAAAGGGATTTATGCATTCTCTCCTCCCTTACATCAGAGCAGTGCATAAATGTATTGAATTCCTCTCAGTGGTGTAGTGCATTGGTTATTGCATGTTTTCTTTCTTCATTATTTACTTAAAGATAAATCAACTACTCCCATAGCCTACATAAACAGCTGTGTGTATATAAACTCCTGAAATATTTCCTCCCTGTCCCATCCAGCCATCTACGACGTGGTGGAGGAGAAGGCGGACTCGGAGCCAGATTTTCAGTACATCCCTGAGAAGTCCCCTCAGGACCCCGCCCAGCTAGACCAGCATGCTTTGAGGGACTCCATGGTCACACTGAAGGAAGGCCTGTGCAGTGGAGCCATACTGGCACAGTTTGATGTGAGGAGGAATAGAAACAAACACACACATGAACAGACACTGTCCATATATGCTCATGTTGTTGGTTAGAATCAGAAATTTGATTGATTGATGGGAGCATTTGTCACACATTTCTTTCCTCGTTCACATTCCTATAACTTCCTGTCCTTTGTCGTAATCACTTAACAGTTTCCTGTTTAAAGTCTGGGTGTTGTGCTTTCACTGAAGAGGAATGTTAACTACAAACACACACACACACACACACACAGGGACATAAATGCACAAAAAGTCACAGCATGAAAGCACTCATGCACACAAACATACGTAATGTTTTTGAGTGTGTTTGTTAAAGCAGCAACAAGGAAATTTAATTTAGTTGTTGTAGTATTTCTACCACCTAATTTCATTGATTTCAAGGGGAATCTGACCCAATGGCAGGCATTAAGAATAACTATAGAACAGCCTGTAGTATATAGTATAGTCTTCTGTCTGATGGTCTTTATGGTCTTTATGTAGGTCATAGAGGCATCGGTATTAAACTGACTCTTTCATAACTCTTTGTAGTAGGTTTAATTACTTTCACACATTTGAAACATTTGCATATTTACATACACAAACAGGCTAAATAAATACTTGGTGTTTACTGATCGTCTTCCTTCTGCCACATTTTTAATATTAAATTTCTGTTCCTTTTTTTTTTTTTTTTTTTACAGCAACTGTACAGGAAGAGGCCGGGGATGACCATGCTGTGTGCCAAATTACCTCAGAACGTTTCCAAAAATCGCTACAGAGACATCTCTCCTTGTACGTGACTGCACACGGTTGTCTATTTCTGTTGGCTTGTGTGTTCAAATATGTGCCGACGTTAACCTTTTGTTCCTTCCTTCACACACGCTCTCTTTTCCACCTGATTTTTTTTTCCCCCTCTTGAAATCTTTCCTTTCTTCCTTTGTCAACATTTCTCTTCCTTTGCCATCTTTCTCTCTATGTAATCTTACCTCCTTTTGTTGTCTTTTTTGTCTCCTTCCGCAGATGATGCCACGCGGGTCATTCTGAAAAGCACAGATGACTACATCAATGCAAATTACATCAATGTGAGTTTGTTCTTTCATTTTTCTCTTTTATTCCTCCATCAATATCTCTGTGTTTTTCCTCGTTGAGGCGTGGTGGGTGGTCTGTTTTGTTAGCCACCAGAAACACATGTTGAAACACCACGGTGGCCATACTGGTGAATGAATTAACCACATCAGCTTTACAAGCAAATGACATCTTGAGTTAATGTTTTGCATTCTTTTGAGTCACCAAGTTGAGCTGAATACTAGTTCAGCCTGCTTTTGGATGTGTAGAGGGTGTTTCTTTTTTTAATAATTTAAGGCATTTTCCGACATCTGTAACATGATGCTTCTTCTATCTGTTAAAGTGAGTCCTTTTTAGAATTCAAACTTGGGTCTTTGCTATGTAAATACCCTGTGCTGGCTGTATTGAACATTACACATAAAAAAAAAAAAAAAAAAAAGGATTGATAGTTGAATGATTGTTTCTCTCTACGGCTAAAGTAATGATTATTGTGAGCGCGAAGGACAATCGCCCCCGCGTCTCACTCATCTAATCAGCACTTTACATCCACTAATACAGTTTCTCATGAAGTGATCATTTATTTGATAGTATACATCCTGCTGCCTTTTGTCAATCTGATGTTACCCAGGCAAAGCTAAAAATGACCTTCAGTCTCATTTAATTTCTGTGTGCTTTTGTATGTGAAATGTTTAGAGATTCATCCCATAAGCTGTTGGCATTGCTGGAAATTCAGAGAGATTGATGCTCTGGTGGTCAAAGTAGTTTGTGAAGCACATTTATTAGACTGATGTGACATTAGAAGAAGCTCCTCGACAACCTAAAGATAGCAGTGCTTTTAAGAAGCTGGAACAAGATGCACAATCAATATATTGCTCTGTTTATTTAACCTTGTACTTCTGTATTGTTGGCGTCTTCGTGACGCCATTCAATTCTGAATTGAATGTTACAATAACGTTACTATGTCCGACCTTGTATGTGAACCTGCAAACATTTAGCTCTCTGCAGAGCTGAGAACACACAAAGCACACTTTCTTAAAATGAAAAAGGAGAAAAAGCTGTAAAGTGCAGTCCTTGCAACCTAATGTATCTGTATCTCAATCTCTGTGTGTCTCTCTGTCTCTGTAGATGGAGATTCCAGCCTCCAGTCTGATCAACCGCTACATAGCATGCCAGGGCCCGCTGCCCAACACCTGCCCCGACTTCTGGCAAATGACATGGGAGCAGGGCTCATCTATGGTGGTCATGCTGACTACACAAGTCGAAAGGGGGCGGGTATGTACAAATAATTCTTCAAAGACAAAGACAGCAGCATGTTCAGAAGTTTTCACTGTTAATGTTTCCATTCAGAAAAAACTTTACTGTACATGTGGAATTGGTTAGATCCAACTATAAACTCAGACATTAGGAGAGTGCGAGTGAGGTTGTTTAGTGCCAATATAATGTCTATGTATCATTAAATGCATGTCTAAGTGAGACACTTCAAATTATTTTATTATTTACTGCAAAAAGGAGTTTCTGCAGCTTGTTTATTTGAGCATTATTTATAAAATACACAAAGTGAGTAAAAGTTGTTTTACCCTGAACACAATGGAACTAAAACTCCTTTAGTCATCAAACCAGGTGTGAATTTAAAAAACAAAAACAAAAATGTGCACATGCAAATTTTTCTTTTAAAATTAGAAAGAATTATTGTGTAGTTGTGTTAACAATTGATCACATGTACCATCTTTCATTATTCCAGATGGACTGAATGCATTGTATATGCAATATATTTGTGTGTTGAACATAATAGCAAACATGCTTACAGATGGCTAGTTTAAAAGGTGAAATATGCCACTGGCCTGACCTTTGACCCCCTGAGCTGAGAATAACAGTCGTGACCTGTTAAGTAAATTAGACGGAATACTTTGTGTGTGTTTGTAGGTCAAGTGTCACCAGTACTGGCCCAATCCAGACAGCAGCGCCACCTACGGAGACTTTACAGTAACGTGCCACAATGAAGAGGGCAACTCTGCCTTCCTGGTCCGGGAGATGACTCTAGTGCACACACCGGTAAATACACACGCAAACACACACTTAAAATAGAAAGGGGAAAAAAAGGGGGGCGGGGGGCGAACGGGAGAAGGGAAATTGGGAAGAAGGGAGTGAAGGTGAAGCAAATATAGAAGAGGAGGTTAGGGAGGAGGGCGAAGGCAACGCAGAGAGAGACGCTGGGTCCAATCAAAGAGAGGGACCAAGCGTCTCAGGAAAGGATGAGCCGCTGAGGACCCCGAGGAGGTGTGTTGCCATAGTGACCAGTGTGGGCTGTTCTTTTTCTGGCTCCCGCTTGCTGCATGCGGGCCACGTTTTGGGATCTGGTTACCATGACAACCCCAACCACCCCAGTCAGTCACATTGCTGAAATAGAGAGAGCGAGAACAGAGGAACCAAACAGAGGAAGAGAGGAGCAGAGAGTGGGACGATGATAGTTTTATAAAAAAGGGAGAATGTAAGTTAGTTTTATTTTGATGTTGAAGCCTTTTGAAGCTCACAGTTAAACTTGAAACGCGTTATGGTGAACTTTTATCTCATTCCTCTATAAACTTAAAGACGTTTGAGATGTTTTCGGATGCAGAATGGTGCGATATCGTTGTTTTTTTTCTTTCCCTGTAATATATGTAAAAGGGCATCTACCATGCTGGCATTGAGGACAAAAATCGAATTGAAAATTAACTTTTAATGGAGGATCAAATGTTCCTGCTGTTTCCTCGCCATTTCCTGCTGCCTGTGTTTTCCTGATTACTTCTCTGTGTGTTGCCCGTGTATCGTGGCCTTTTAAGATATATGGCTGTAGGAGGAGGCAATTAGCATTCTCCTCTGCCTGTGATTGTTGCCATGGAGATAGATGTGTTACCATGGCGATGCGGCGAGGCAATATTAAAGAGGAACACAAGGGTTCTGCGTTGCACATGAAACAGTGGTCAGTAGTTATCTGCTGTAGCTGCTGTGTGTGTGTAAGACATCATTATTGTGTCCCTGTTGGGTTTAGATCTTTTTTTATTTTATTTATAGTTTGATTGCAGCAACATAAAATGTACATTGTAGTTGTAGAGCCGCAGAAAATGTTGTCATCAGTACCTGGTGTTTCATAAAACGGGAAAGAACAACGTGAATCACCAAGTGGTCCAGCAGAGTGGAAAAAATAAAGCCAGTTTGTTATTCACACTACCCGTTTCATAACATTTTTGAAGGCCATAATTACACAAACAGGGCGGCTGTGCAGTCTCCCCCTAGGACACAGAGCTCAATGAAACATGCTAGGAGGTTGCCCACATGAAATACAAGAACCTGCATTGAACCAGTTCTGAGTGTGAGTGATATCTGAGAACAATTAATCACTCAGGAAGCTCGGGTCTTGACTGAGGCGATAGTGAATGCTCTCAGTTCATTTCCGAGGCCTCTCATAATAAAGAAGCTTTCCTGGAAGACATGAAAATATAATATAAAGTCATTTCCTATCTCCTTTTCCTTCTGTGTGTGTGTGTGTGTGTGTGTGTGTTCAGAGTGAGCAGCAGAGAGAGCTTACCCAGATCCAGTACCTAGCTTGGCCGGACCACGGCGTCCCTGATGACTCCACTGATTTCCTGGACTTTGTGGCTCTGGTACGGACCAAACGGGCCGGACAGGACCAGCCGATGGTGGTACACTGCAGGTACAGTAGTTCTTTGTGTGAATTATTTGTAGTAGGCCTGTTGCAATAACTGCAATAATGAAGTACAAGCTACTGACGAGCCAACCACGGGGGATTACAAGCCACCACCACAACCACATGTGACCTCAAATGATCACGTCATGTTCAGTATTAAGTATTAAGCGTCCCGTAGTGGCCTGGCTGGAGAGACTCACTCACAGTAGAAGCGCCGTCTGAAATGTAGTATCAGCTACTCAGTATCCCCCAATTCACAACCCAGGATTACAGTACCACACAGGAACATAGCTCCCACCTCACTCCTGACTGGAAACACCAGTCTTTTAGTAGAAAAAGCTGACCGGTCTCTTAAATATCCCAATCTGTCACGGTTGTGTATTTGCGTTCCATGGCTAGCTGGGGTTCTCTGGCGATTTTAATTCTGCTTAAAGTCGGCAGTTAACAGGGTCACAGATCCAGGAGGCAGGAGGAGGGAGATTGCAGGTGATTAGGTATTGAAATGAACCTCCTTAAAAAGTCATTAGCAAACATTAAACAACAACATAAATGGCGGTAATACCACATACTGTGCTGCTGAGCCACCTTGAATCACTGCAACAGCCCTAATTTTGTAGTGGTGAATCCATAATCAGCTGATTTGTGTGTTTAATGATTTCAACTCTAATCTTTGTCGTTCGTCTTTTCTTCCAGTGCGGGGATTGGTCGGACAGGGGTTCTGATCACCATGGAGACAGCATTGTGTCTAATGGAGTGCGGCCAGCCAGTGTATCCTCTAGATATCGTCAGGACCATGAGAGACCAGAGGGCCATGATGATCCAAACACCTGTATGTATACGCATCGATATGTCTGTCCAGCTGCCCCCAGGCTCTTTAAACCATCCGCTAAAACATCTCTCTCTCTCTCCGTCTCTCCATCAGAGCCAGTACCGCTTTGTATGTGAGGCCATCCTGAGAGTCTATGAGGAGGGCCTGGTCAAACCACTCAAGACCGCTGTCTACCATCCGAGGGAAAAGGTGGACGAGGAGAGGGACGACGAGAAGAAAGAGCAGCAGAAAGCAGGCGAAGGAGAAGAGACGGCAGCGACGGAGGAAGGGGAGGCGGCAGTGGTGGAGTTGCTGGAAGGAGGTCTGGATGAAGAGGACGACGACGACGAAGAGGTGGAAGTGCTGGATGTGGGAGAAGTGACGGAAGAGGGGGAGGACGAGGAGGACGAAGAGGAGGAGGAAGCGGAGGAGCCGAGCGTCGCAAGCGCCACCAGCGTGACCAGTGAGACCAGCGTGAACCCTGAACCTGAATCCGCTAACCCGTGACTTTTGACGGGTCATCAGGGGTCACCAGGAGGAGGCCAGGTGGCCGGAGAACAGAACAAAAGCACTGTTGCACTTTATGCTGACAAAAACCGGAAAAAAGACAAAACAAACGAACAAACGTGAAAATCATGGACAAGCTAGAATAAAAAAAGAAACCCAGCTGTGTTGAATAGGTACCATTAGGGGATATTGTATGTTCAGGGGAAAGAAAAAAAGTATTCAAAGAATGAAAAGATGAAAGTACGAGAGAATAAAATGTGGATGGGGAATTGCTGTAGTGCCATAAGTATGAAGGGGAAGGGCTGCCCCCCTTGATGGAAAGCTTTTTCCCCCCGTTTTATTTCCCCCAAAGGGTCGCCCTGTCCCCTTCTGAGCGAGTCTGCCAGACGGACCTGCCTTTTTTTAGTGTCCTTTTAGCTGATAAAGAGATATACCTTATCTTTTGTTCCTCAGAAAGAGTATTTATTGTGTTTTAGTTTGTGTCAAACCCTGTCCACTGAACAAAAAAAAAAAACTTGTATGTTTGTTTGTATGAATCTAGAGCTTCATGCTTTCCTGATTAAATCTTAGGTAGTTAAGTAGTGCGATTCCTCTTCTTCTAACTACTTCTTAATTTCTTCTGCTTTTTGTGGAAAAAAAACAGTGATTTAATTTATTGTACTTGGTTTTTATCTTTCTCAGCTTTCTTGTCTAAGTTTCTGACAGCACAGACTGACAGATGGACAGCTGAAAGCGCTTTGTGTCTCACCTCTTGTTCAATGCTGTGGCAAGTTTTTATTCTTTATCCTGCTTTGTGCTGTGTTTGTGAGCTTACAGACACACACGCTCTGAGGCGGCCATCGTTTGGCATGGTGAAGAACATAACTGGTTTACAATCCTCAGGGCCTGTGTTTACTGGGCACCTCTCTTTCACTTGGTCACGGCGGCTACTGTTGCTCTACGACTACAGACCTCTCACTGTCAGATGTAATGAGAAAACAGATTAACGTCACATCGCATTATTAATTCAACACCAGAAAATTTAAGAGTGTCGTAAAGAGGGGCCCCAGTTGACACACGGCCTCTCTGAGTTACAATCTAAAACCGTTTCCCAGCCGCCGTGGCTGATAAAAAGCTAAGAAACAAGGCTGAGGTTAGTTCATTTTTTTTCTTCAAATTCATATGCAGTCAATTTAATAGTTAAGTCAAACCTACAGGTCACTTGCAACTGACGAAGTGGGCAGCAAGGGTCCCTGCTGAAGTGTCCTTGAGCCAGACACTGACAATAAAGCCCCGCTGCATGTGAAGCTCAGAGGCTTCCCTCCGATTGGTTTCCCCCAGAGAGAGGAGAACTTTGTGCAACCCAAACGTGTCTTGCTCGTCTTTGACACAAGTCAAATAGTGGTCAAAGGTAGGTCATTAAAGTGGTTGAAAACTGCTAGACTTTTTATGCAATCAGTATTTGCCCCCTCCCTCACCCACCCAAGGTTTCACACGCTATAAAGTGCTTGCTGAATTGACAGTGAACTGATCTCAGCCTCAGTGTGAATGGTAAAAACATGACTTTAAAGGCTCCCTCCACTGACCTCCTCACATTTGAATTCTGTAAACATGAGAAAACCCAGATCTTTTGCACACATTTGCATTTGAGACTTATTATCATTTGTCGCTGTGTGTGAGCAACCGCATGGCCCAGCATTAAACTCAGTAAGACTAATTGTCATAAATTTCCTCACTAAATCCTTTTTTTTAATATATATATATATATATAAAAGGGGGTTCAGAGGTCATTGGAGGGGCTTTAAACCAACCTTTGCTGTTCAGTTTTTTTTCTAAATCTGCCTGATTGTCTGCCAGAGAACACTTTGATAGTTCAAAGAGGCAGCACAAACAGAACATTCACCCAATACTTTAACCTTTTCTTTTTAATTGATCTTGATCTTTCCCAATGGTACTATTTTAATTTTAAGGCACATGTTGTTTTTTAAGCCAAGATGATGTGTTAATGAGTGATAAGTGACGACTTGTATTTTTGAATTCACAAAACCCAGCATCAAGTTGCTTGTTGAGTCCTTTTTTTTTTTTTTTTTGTCTCAGTGCAGGTTAAGCTGCCATTGTTCTTTACAAAGCAGCGTGGAATGAAGTGTAGCCTCTTCATAATTTGAGATATTTTTCTTATCGGCTGCTTCAGTACCTGCTGTCATTGGCTCCTTCCATGGATTCTGCTGGAAAAAAACCTACTGCTGTGAGTGTGTGAGAGTGTGCGCGTGTGTGTGTGTGTACTCAGATTTCAGTCTTTATCTCTCACTGTACCTCTCCCTCCTCCATTTCTAACATAGTTGGTTAGCTGTCTGGTCTAAGCCTGCTTGTCCGTTAACTGGAATGAAAAGGTTGTGCCCGTAAAAAGCCACAAACCTAATCTAACCCCCGATCTCAAGTTTTTTTCTGAAGAAACGCAGATAGAGCCTCCTTGGAGAGTAAACTTTTAGTCTGAATCTTTCCCTGTGAAACATTTCAAACCATGCTTATACCTCCCTTTCAAACAGCTGAATCATACTTTTTTTTTTTTTTACACATGGGGAGGTGGCTCAAGAAGAGTCTAGAAACAGCTTTTCCTCTTCACTATTTTTTTTATTTTTTTATTTCTCCTGTAGTGCGGCCCTCTCCCAAAAATCTGCCTAAATCCTTCTCTCAGGCAACATCAGTCATTTCAGCAGAGCCCACGCAACATTCACTATCCATTCTTCTCATTGTTCTTCCCCAGATGCCTCTCTTTTGGATCATTATACATGGATCCCACTCTCTCTGCATGGCCTCAAGGCAAATGACACATCTGAGCAGAATACCATGGGTACAGTAGCGCAGTATCAAGCTTGTTTTCCACACAGGGACAAAGTGAAGCTAGCCAGCGAATAGCTGACCGAATAACTGGTTTCAGATTTTTATTGATTTTTTATTGACAGTTGCACATTCATTGCAGACGCTGCATGTATGAGCTTATAATCAAAAGAACAAAGACACCATTCAGCCCCCACTGGCTTCTTATATCATCAGTTTTTTTTTTTTTTTTTTGTATCCAGCAGCAGGGCCGACCAAATGAAATTACCACCAAATCAAAATTAATTAACGCTGAAGCCCTCCTGATAAAGTGGCATCAATGACAAGTTCACAAAGCCTTGGCAATTTCCAACAGGAAGATTAAAAAACAAAACAAAAAAACATCGGCCATGCAGTGAAAAGTTAATAATTGATAAATCCAGGCCGCCAGAGTTTCCAACTGCACAAAATGTCCAGCAATGAGCTGTCTGTGTTGAAAGTGTTTTTGTTGTTGACACATAATTGGTACTGTCTGTGCGTTTAGGGTACTGATCAAAGGTAGTTTGGAGGGGACCAGACACAGGGGGAGGGCCCGGGTTTAGTTGTATTTTTGTAAAGATGAAAACAGCTCTAGTTGGGTAGGGAAAGGACAGCACTTTGTAGAAGGCTGAGTGGCAGGTAGTGCTACTGACAAAAAAAAGTTTTAAAAAAAGTTGGAGACATAAAGCATTGTTAAAATAAGTTCTTTTTTTTTTTTTAATTTGTCATTTTTATTTTGTTTGAAAATAAGACCAGTAGGGAACAAGAAAAAAAGAAAAGAACTCCTAACTACACAGTGCCACTTGTTAATTTTGTGTAAATAATACTAGACCATGTAAATACAATGTTGTATATGAAAAAAAATCTTTAAAATAAAAGGGAAAATCATTTGTGAGCAGAAACATTTTGTTTTTATTTTGGTTTTTTTTGTTTATTTTCTCCTTTTTGAATGATTCAAATGTGACACAAATGGTGTGTATTTCAAGACTGCTATTTCAAAAAAAATTTGTTTTATTTGAATCGTAATCTATAACAGCGAGTGTATATATAATGAAACACAAAATAATGAGAAATGTTTTACCGTATTATACCCTTGGTTAACTCCTACCTGTGTTATAAAAACCTTTGTCCTCAGTTGCTTGTTTCTTTCTGGTATCATGGTTTTATGGTGCTTGGACATGTCTAATAAGCTTGATTGTGAACAATTAAAGCTTGTCTGTCAAAGCATGGAGACGTGGCTTCAGATCACCTTGCTTTCCCACACTGTAAAAGTGAGGTTGGGCAATGTAAGGTCGCACCAGTGCCGAAGACTTTGACCAGAGTCACTTATTTAGATTTTTTTTATTTATTTATTGATTTAATACTAGAGTGAAGCCATTAGTCACATAAGTTAGCCAAACTGCTAGATCTCTGTAATTTCAGTCTTCAATGAAAATAAGACTGAGAAGGTTTTCAAAGAAGGAGGAAATAACTTTTTTTAAGGGGGTTTTCTAAAGAAACAAACCACTGAACAGCTTCCCTGCTGCCATGAAGTAAGCCAACCTTAAAGATGTATAAGTCAGATGATTTGATATAATTAGGTAATTTGTATCTAGCTATCTTGTTTTATAATGATATTATCGAGCCAAAGGCCACAGTGGGAGCTATTACTGTGGATTAAAGCTCCAAAGCACACAGTTTTACCACCGGTGCAAATGCAGCATTAAAAAAAGATTTAGATGTTACAAGTGATTTATAGACATTCGTCATAGTTTCTGAGGTATATCAGTATATTAAAGGCCTACATTAATTCAAGGAGGCCTACCTAAATGTACAGCTGGATCATATATCAGCATATGATAGGCTTACTGCATTAGGATGATATTGCTAGTACTGTGGGGCAGAGCATAGGTGCATTTTGTAGTATACAGTAGAACTAGTTAAAGGCCGCCCTTTGTATCTGCCACTGTGCCATCCACATACATGTTAGTGATTATTCTGTTCTCAGTGCTGACAATAAAGAATCAGATTTGGGGATTCATTTTGGCAAAGCTTTGCAACAACTGGGAACAGGGTCACTCTTAAAACATTAAAAAAAATAAATGTTAATGGGCAGGAAAGTCACTACTCTTAAACCCTGACTCTATACACACTATGCTACTCTGTTACCCTAAATAAACCACAGGTCTGATTGTCTCTTGCCACATTTCTAAACCATTATTCCCAAACTAACCAGAGGGGGGTGCTGCTGTCAAATAGTGATGGACTACACCAGCGTTCAAATTAGACCACGGACCAAAAAAATCAAACAAACAACCCCCATTTTATAAAATATTGTCCCAGGGACCCCTGTCTGATGGAACTTGCCATAATTATATATTATTATTAATTAATAATAATCTCATTTCTAAACAAAGTTACAAAGTGCCTTACATGGCCAATAAAGGTCAAGACAATTCAAATCATATAGAAATGAGGTAGAATAAAGATCCCCAATCAGTAAACCGCTAATATATGATAAGAACCATAATACTAATATAATACGAGGCGTTATACAGTGTGCTAGAATACATTAAAAATATTATGTTTTAAGATGTTTTATGACAGAAAGTATATAAAACCCATGACCAAACAAATTATATTTATTTATTTATTTATTTTTTTTTAATATAATCAGCCAATGCGACTATAATTAAGTGTCGGGGTCTTTTAGATATAAAAATAAAAACAATAAAAACCCATAATATACCAGCCTCAATAAAAAAAAAAAAAGAGGCGTGTCTCTTTAAAAACGCTAATCAAGGTTTTTCTTTTTGTTAGGGATTTATCGTGACGTCACTTCCTGAGCAGAGCTTTTTGCCTCCTACTTTTTTTTTTTTTTTTTTTTTGTCGGGACCTGGGAGAGAAAATTATCCCGCAGAGGTAGCGAGGTGGAGGAGAGAAAAAAAAAAAGGAGAAGAGGAGGAAGAGGAGGAGGAGAAGAAACAAGTTACAAACCGTGGGAATGTACGAGGTTGCTGTTTAGTCGGTCTACAATGCAAGCGGACGTGCTTTCAACCGTGAATTCATAACGAGGAGGTTTCTGTAAGTATCCCCCTGTTCATCCAAGACCTCCACGGAGCCACAAGTGGCCGCGGAGCAAGTGTATATGTCGGATCCAGCTTTTCAGGTCTGGAAAGGAACGGGGTGCGTTTGTTTTGCCGTGCGAGACGCGCCTGTGCGGGCGGAGTCTTGGGATTTGCTTTGCGTTCGTTGCTAACGGTTAGCGCCGCCGTGTAAAACAAGCGCACACCTGTTGCCTTTGCTTACATCGGGTAACTTCCAGGGCCTTTTTTTACTGGGGGACAAATTGTGATGCGAAGGGTTGAACTGTTTATTTGTTTGCTTTGTTAATATTATTTTAGCAGATTTTACACATTTTTAAAGGCTGTTTTTTGTGTGTGTGTGTGAAGAGACCGTTGGTGTCTCAGCGGTTTCTTTATCTGGCTGACCTGAAAACCACAAATGGCGAGCAAGTTTAGACATCTTTACAGTCGACTAACGCTGGCTAACTTTATTTTAAAATGAATTTAACCAAGCTAATAATGTAGTAAAGCTCCATCTCAAACATCTTCGTTATTCTTCATTGTCTTTTTGTAACTATGCGACATTCGTATCCTTATAATACGTGTTTGACGCCGGGTTAACGTTAGCTGCGTTAAAAGAAGTTAGTAACGTTGTAACGCAAAAACGACCGTTAGCCGTTACTGTTATCGTTGATCACCAGGGTAACGTTAACTAACCGTTAACTGAAGTGATAACAAACGTATTAGTTAGTGGGGCTCGCCGTTAAATTAACGGTAACTAGATATACACTATTATTTATTTCCTCCCCTCAGCTTGTAACAAAGTGATATCTGTTGATGTGTCTGTCACCTGTAGCATCAACCGGCAATTTATTTTATGTTTTTAAGAAGAAACTATTTAGATAACACATCCAAATGTTAACACCAAATACTAGTATCTATTAGTTTCCTCGTCGGGACCCAGGTTGTTTGATAGTTTGCAGATGTTAACTTCTAATCTATGATAATGCAAACAAATCAGTGCACCTGCCAGTTTGCAGGTGCACTGATTATCCCTGATATCCCCCCCACCTTAAATGTTTCCTAGGATTTTACACATGCAACAGTTTAAAAAGGCCTTTTTAAGTAATCAAATACAAAATGAATCCCTTATATGTCTTAACATGTGTCTTCTTTTCTCTATACAGGTGTGGTACCCTCTCAAGCACCCATCATGCTGAGTTTCCTGCGCAGGACGCTGGGGCGGCGCTCCATCCGGAAACATGCAGAGAAAAGTCGTTTGCGGGAGGCCCAGCGTGCCACGACGCACATCCCTGCTGCTGGGGATGCAAAGTCTATCATCACCTGCCGTGTATCCTTACTGGACGGGACAGACGTCAGCGTTGACCTGCCGGTAAGGAGGGGTTTCTGGAGTTTCCGGCTTTCCAGGTTGTGCGTCTTCATTGAGCAATAGTAGGAACATTCACAAGCCAGATACTTGATTGTTGTCGTCATCTTTGAGGTTGTGTGTATTCTTCTATGCTTAATTGTAGCAAGGTGTCACAATATTTGGAAGGACAGTTAGAAACCTTTTAGTAGCTGTACATAAAGATTGAGTATGTGTACAGTTTTAAAAGTAGTCAAGGCAAATTCTGTCAAGGTTAAGTGAAGTCCCTCGCCAGTGGTCACACATTAGTGGTCTTACAGTGGTGAAAACATGAAGCATTAGAATGAGAACAATATTTTTAACTGTGTTTTTATGCCCACCAAGGTGTCTTTGTTTGTTAAATATAAATGGAGACAAAAACCACACCTGAACCAAAAGATACTTAATTGTTGAACATGCATGTAAATCTGTAGAGTCTGTCTTGTAATGGATGTCACTGTGTCTCTACTGGTCTGCCTGCAGTGCTGGTGTTAAGAGGACAGTTAATGCCTAGGAAATGGATTATACTCTCTGACAAATCACTGTCAAATGGCCGTTAACTATGAAGCACAAGAGATGTACTGGTGACCATTGTGTGCCTGTGTCAGTAGAGCAGGGCATTTTTAAGCCTGTGTAGTGTTTGTGGGTGTGTGTATGTGGGTGTGTAGTAGTGTTGCTGATCACCTGTAATTCCATGATCCTCTCTGGAGAACACACTTCATCACATGACAGCGTCACATGACATGTTGGGCTGTTCACCAAGTGGACACAGAGCAGAACTTCACTCTCCCCACCTCCTTACTCTCTCTTCTATCTATCCTCCGCTGTCCCATATCATGTTAATTGTTTCTCTGTAACGACTTCTTTTAGACAAACACCAAGCTCCTGCTGGGGAAAAACCTAATGTAGTGTTTAAGTCGTGTAATTCTTTAGAACTGAGGGTATGAATATCTTAAGGGTTTTTCCCTCATGTGATCTTTATTTTTGCCCAGCTCACAGATTTTTCTACTTTGTGTTTCCACTTGCATTCCACGTGTCAAATCCACAGCATTCCAGTGAGGCCAGCCTGGTATCTAACTGTCCTGTATCACTCAACCTTATCTTGAAATCTAGCCATCTGGTATAAATTACCAGGAAGACATCTTGAAGTCCTTTTTGTCGCTTTAAAATCCAAATTTTCTGTTTTGTTTTCTGTAAAATACTCCTATAGAAGCGGAAGATAGACGTGGTAAATGAAAACAAATCAACCAGCATTTCAGAATTCCTTACCAGCTTATTGAGCAAGAATGCCTAAACATATTTAATTGGGCATGTCTCGCAAATGATGTCACACATTTTTAAGTGCCAGTCCTGCCAAATCATTAACGTGTAATCCTTCCCATCAACTGCACTGATAATCTCATTCAGTCTTTATTCTAGTGGAATGTTTTCTGTTTGGACTGTTTCTCTCTCTGTTCCTCTGTCTCGGGGTCGCTCTCTTGTTTTTGGCCAGAAATTATTACTGGGATTGTTTTCAAGGCTTTTTTACCAGTGTTGTTAGTTGTGATTCCTTTAATTACCTATTTTATTGATGGAGTTAATTGATTTTGCTCTAGCCTAGGTTTACTTTCATGCCTTAAAAACTCTCAGGCATTTGGTGTGTGTGCGCCTGAAGGAAGTTTCAGATTCAAATGGATTTCTGAATGCGTTCCAGAAGGGCCCTGGCCTTGTGTTACGTTTCAAAATGAGCTTTTTTTTTGTGTGCTCCCCCTCCCCCAGACATAGGTAGCTTCTACAAACATCCAACTATCTCTAAGTGATAGCACAAAAACACACCAGTTAGGTGAGGAGCATTGCTCTGTTTGAATGCTGTACATTCTAGATATCCTTTGCACTCATGATAACATTGCCAACAGCATGTCAACACAACTAGGTAAGAAGACATCCAGACTCTTACATTAGAAAATACATATTGTAGAAAAAAAAACGCAGACAACACAAATGCAATCTACCTATATTTTAGGCAACATTCCTTATTTAATTTAGTTATCATGATGTAGTCTGTCTTTCCCTTACACCTTAGTCCCAATTGGATGTTTTTCATCTGGTTGAAATGAGTTTCTCCTTCAAAAGTTATTCAGATATAATCAAAAGTTTGTCCTCTCTGTGGTGTCAGTGCTCTTTTATTAAGCTAGAGTCTGCATGGGGTGACAGATACTATAGAGCCTACTGAAACTGGAGGCACCAATTTGTTAAGACAGCACATTTGCATACCATTAAAACATTGTAATGCTCTGTGTTTTGGCTTTCCTGAGCTTGCAGGGGGTGGGGGTATGTCATGTTTGCTAAAGGCATTACAGGAAAGTAACAGCAGAGACAGTGGTAAGACTGTAGCGGTGTTTTGGAGATGTTTGGAGGAGGGTTTTGTCACCAAGGCCTTATTTTTTGGTTTTTGTGTATGTGCGTGCATAATGGCGTCAGAAGCTTAAGATAAAAATGCATTTTCCCCCTTGTAGCACAACTCCGCTGGGGAACTGACAAGCATTTTTGTTGTACTATTCTGTCTGAACTGTTCCTAAATACATGGGAAACTGAATATTTATTGGAGGAACAGCGTGAACATAGTCATAAACAAACCCTCTGACAGTAGAGAGGCAAGCTGAACAGGTTTGCAGGGAAACATTGCAGCTTCCCACTATCTTTGTGTCAGTTACACTTATCATTAGGTCAAACAGTCTCTGAGAAAAAGTTAAACTTAGCACATTACAACCTTTTTGCTCGCAGTCTTTCTTTGCTTTAAGTATAGCATATGGGGTTAAAGCCTCTAGGAATTGTGGAGAAGGAGTAATGATATCTATAAAACAGGTTTAACACCATTTGGTTGTCAATTAAAAAGACTATAGGCTGGCAGAAATTTGGCGGACCCCCTGCTAAATGGTGTGGTTTGTTTTTCTTTTCAGATGTTCAGGTGGTTGTAAATAGGCTGCTGCAATCTGAAACTGAATAGGGCTCATTCACATGCTTTACTGGCTTTCCAGCTGTGTGTGGGTCCCTGGAATACAAGGCCACCCAAAGTTGTCTCCTAGGGATACCTCTGTTTGGCAGCATCCATGTCCTTTACATAAATCCACACAGCCTTATGATTCACATTCCTTCCTTTACATTTATTTACTTCCCTGTCTTTCCTCTTTATCTTTCTCCCCCTCACCTCCCCAACATACAGCCACCCACACCGTCACGTCCTTCCACCTTCCTTTCTCTCATTGTAGTCCTTCTGTTAATGGTAGTACATCTCAATCTGAGTAAGTTGGAAATAATATGCAATAATAAGATTATAGTGTGAAAGACACAACGTTTAACTGGGTTGTTTTGAAGGTTATCATGGGTAAGAAACCTGTATAGGTCTAAGTGCACAGTGTATGCAGCTATGTTTACTACACATTGTAGTAATACAAACACATTGATGTATGACGTTATTTGACCTTTTGCTAAGCCACGCCCTCCTTAGTTACTGTTGCTATGTCTGTACTGCACATGTGCAGTGGTTTTCTGGTGATAACGGTGGCAGATTTAACGCAGAGAAGTAAACAAAAGCAGGCTTTTCATTTTTCTAGCTGACAACCTAAAGCTACGTAAAAGCTACATCCCAGCAGACATTGGTTGGATGGTGAAATACAACATGTAAATGATAGATGACAGAAATGTGCTCATCAACAATGGGAAAGGAAGTGCAGGGGACCTTGAGACAATCACTGCCCCACGGCATCTTCTGACCACCCAGCCAGACCAGCCGGAGCAAATGCTGCTGCAAGCAGTGCGATCGCCCCAGGAAGAAAGGGAAGAGAGCTAAGCTTGGACCTACGAGAGTGAGCAAGAGTGATGCATCGTCAGCCCATCATAACAAATCCCAATTCATCAACCACTGGGAATAAGCCATGAGTTTGGCAAATACAGTGGTATCTAACACAAGTTTGTCTGGAGGTTTTGTAGGCAGTAGTTAACTGCACTTGGTAACATTTGCAGCTTACGTTAGAGTAACGTTAGAGCAGGTAATGACGAAGTTTAATCCATTCCTCACACATTTGCTTTTGTGTTTTAGGTTTTTGAAAGACTACAAAAAAAGACAGCCGAAATACAGAAGATCGCTCGGCTTAGAGCCTCTTGCACGCCACTTAAACATGTTCAGAAATCCAAAGCTTGACAGGTCTGTAGTGCCTAGTTACAGTTGCTAAGCTATGGTTGGACGGTTGCTGTTCGGAGGAGGGGTTTAGCAAAGAGTCAGTTGTGTACAGTGCAGCCATTATGGCATCAGGAGTCCTGGAAAAAGACTCAACCTAATATTAACAACTTGTGGCCAGTCTGCAATAATTCAAAGCAAACTGTGGAGTCGATGAATTCCCAGGACATGTCGTGACCTTCTGTCTTGTACTGGATGAGTTAAGATTAAGTTATCTTTTGCAGTGTAATGGGTAAACATGGCCCTAAAAATATAGGTTAACGAGTATTATTCCCATTTAGGATGCTATAAATGCTGTTTTTAGAGAAAACGGGAATCCACCAAATCGCTTGATTTTCTAGTCTTCTACCTGTCCTAGATTTTGATCCTTTTTTAAAATGGATGCATTACTACGCTGCTTGGATTAATGGACTTGTAAATAGCCGTAGATGAGAACATCAGCTTAAATACCTCAATTGTAACCTAAACATTACGCCACAATGTCTGAGAGACGCAGCTCTATGCTCACAGGCAGGCAGAAAGACTGCAAACAGCCGAACAATACTGCAGGCAATATAACAAGGCCTTGGGTGCAGCACACACACACACAATGAGTCCTTTGTACTCTCTCTCCCTGGGTACTGTAGGGGTGCGGTATGCCTTGTCAACTATGCCAGCTAGCATGGGGCCAGCCCCCCTGAGCTGCCCAGGAGCTCTCTTGGGGTGTGTTTGTGTGTCTGTGAGAGAGGGAGAGAGTGTGTGTGGAGGAGACTTAGGGAAACTTCGAGAGCCCCCGTGCCCCTTTCCTTTCCTTATCCAATTGTGCCATGTTTTTTGTTTTAACCACTGTGATGTGTGTCCCTGATTTCTGTGGGTAAAATGTTGAACTATGGTTGTAGAATTGACCTTAAAAGTTAAAGACAAGACTAAAGTGATGGACTAAGTCCTGTAAATGGAAAAGTTAATTCCTGATGCCACCGTTAAAGTGCATTAAAGCTCAGCTTAATAATGCAGCAAACTCTGTTGGCTCATGTATATTTGGAAAAAAGTACCACAAATAGGGCTTCTAAACACCAGTGATCTTTGACCTCATAGAATAGTTTTTTTTTTAGTATTTGTGTTGGTATTAGAAGAATGAAAACAAAACAATCTAAGTTGTTGTTGAGCTAGCAGCACACCCATTGCAATAGTTACACTGGTTAGTTGTTGCAGTGGTAAGTGCATCATTATACGATTATACCATGCATACAAAACGAATCCTTACAACCCAGTAATTTATTGAAGACATATCTTTTGGTTGACTGCTAATAGGCCAGTCACATGTATGCCAACACTGGTTACCCTGCATCCTATGAAGGGACATGTTGATGTTTCATAAGATTGCAAGAGAAAGAGGTAATAAATTATGGATTTGTGGTTCTCTAAAAGTAAAGACTGGGGAGAATGCTTTTTTTTTTTTTTAATCTACTATTGTTTGCAATTCTTCCTGTGAGAAAAAAAAAATGGGGAAATAATAAAAAGTCAGTCATACTCTTGGTTAAAATTACAGATCGTTTTAGTGCGAGAACAAATATTTGAAAAATAAATTATTGATTAAACAGACAAGATTGAGCAAAATAAATGCAGCTGCAGACTGATCTTAGATGGCGTCTTTTCCTAACACAGTGAAGGGCCCACAGAGCCAGATGATCACATGATGTATCCAGCCACCCCACTTCCCTCAGCTCCTCGGCGTCTGGGGCACTTTAGCCCCCGTTACTATGGTAACCCTGTCGCTGTGCCTCATGGTGGGGTTTGGAAGTCGGGTGTGTGTGTGTGTGTGTGTGTGTGTGTGTGTGTGTGTGTGTGTGTGTGTGTGTGTGTGTGTGTGTGTGTGTGTGTGTGTGTGTGTGTGTGTGTGTGTGTGTGTGTGTGTGTGTGCACACATGTGAGGGAGAGATCTCTCAGTCACAGGCAGTAACTGGTACGGCCTTGTCAGAGAGGGAAACATATTTCAAACTTGGAGTACTTCATGTTAATATTTTATCATAGCTTTCTATTCCAATCCATAAAAAACAAATCACACTACAACCAGGCAACAAAAAAAACAACCCTCAAAGCAATAATTATAGGCCAATGGGAAACATTTTATTTTGGACTTCTTGATCTTCTTCAGACAAATCAGATGCTTACTTAAAAAATGTTTGATTCAAGGTCCAGTGTGTAACATTGAGGAGGATCTATTGGTAGAAAAGAATATTCATTTTTATGTTTTTATTAGTGCATAATAAGTATTATAATTATAATATTATTAATAAGAATTGTGTTGTGTTTTCGTTACCTCAGAATAAGGGAGCAGATTCTCTTCTACGGAGTCCGCCATGTTGAACTGCTATGTATTTACATTAGCCTAGAACGTAAAAAACAAATACTGGTTCTAGATAGGACCTTTTGCAGTTTGTTTTTTAGCAGCCACCGTAGTTTCCCCTAGACACTTGGAAGGTGAGACACTGTTCCTTAACTATATCCAAAAACACTTGATATTTTGATCATCATTGCCTTTCTTTACCTTTATCTCCTGACTATTAATATTCACACTGTTAATAACTCTTTAATATCACTAGTTTACAACTAGGTATTTTCTTCATGACCCTTAGGTGAGATGATTTGTCACTCAGCTACTTAAATCGTCTGTTTGTTTGTTTGTGTGTTTCCCTGATCAGAAAAAAGCCAAAGGTGAGGAGCTGTTTGACCAGATCATGTACCATCTGGACATCGTAGAGAAAGACTACTTTGGACTGCGCTTCATGGACTCAGCACAAGTACCGGTATGAATGGAGATGCACGTTATTACACAATATTCTCTTTATTATGTTAAACTGTTGGGTTTTTTTATCTACTGCTTCTGCTGTTGGTTACGTAATGTGTTGGGTTGGACATTTTGTTTCGTATAATCATGTTTTTTTGAGTTTTAAAATAACAGATAAAATTTACTTAACAGCAATGTTGACATTGCCTTCCTGTGATTGTGGATACCAGTAATTGTAATTAATCACAACATGCAGTCTATCAAACTAGAATTGTAGTCCTCAATACTGTCATTTTACATTTGACCATTTCGTGCAGTCTTCTTAGCTGCTGTTCACAGCCAGACTTCAGATTTCAGTCCAAATCACCATTTACCCATTGGAAGGAAGGCTTGAGGCAGGGACTTTTCCCTTCCAGTGAATGGGCTAAAGGGATTGGTTATGGGACTTTTGTCAGCTCTGGGAGTCTGGCTGTGCTCTGAGACAAACAGTTTTAAGTCATTGGTCTGCCAGTGACCCTGTTCCTTCACAATGATACTCTGTGAAGGCCATGGAAGGAGGGAGAGCTGGTGGGAGTAAAGATGCAACTGAAGGGAGGGACACTGAGGAGAGGGGTGGAGGTAGAGAGTCAAAAGGATGAGAGAAAGAGAGGGAGTGGGGGAGGCGGTGATGCTGTATTAAGGAATGTGGGGGAGAGGAGACTAGAGAGTGCTGCAAGCTCCTCTGTTATCTCTCTAACTTACACATTGCACACACACAAACACACCACCGCCCCTCCTTGACATTTTTCATGCCTCATAGAGCCTGAACTTCCAAGAAGAATTACAGCATAGAGCAGAACACTGACTTTAGTGTCTGTGTGCATGTGTCTGTGTGTATTTCTACAAAGGACCTCCCAGCATTAAAGTTTTCATTAAACCAGCCACAAGAATCTTGTATTGATTCTGGCGACCCCTGTGGACAAAAGCGGTAGTGTTTCCACTGCCTCATTTCATTGATTTCGAGTGGAAACTGACAGAATCAGATAGTGGCAGGCATCAAGAATAACTTCATAGAAATAGCCTTAAATATCTTCTCGCTGATGGTATTATAGAGGCATCAGTATTAAATTGTGACTGTTTCATAATGTTTGTAAATTGAATAAAGGCAGGTATAATAATTGGAGAAAAAGACTATACTTGTAAGATCAAATGTTTCTTGCATGATTCTTTATAAACTTAACCTCATCTCTACATTGTTAAAGCTGCTGTGTTTTTTAAAAATTGTTATCACCTTTTTGTTTCAGCACTGGATTGACGTTACAAAAAGTATCAAAAAGCAAGTGAAAAGTAAGTGTTTAAGTGAGTGTGCATGAGACATCTGGTCTCTAAGACCCATTTATTACATTTTCTCCCTGGTATTTTATTAGATTGTATGACTGTTAAGTGTTATAACATTAACTGAGTTGTGATTTTGATCCGTCTTTTAGTTGGCCCACCATACTGCCTTCACATGAGAGTTAAGTTTTACTCCTCAGAACCAAACAACCTGCACGAGGAGCTCACCAGGTCAGTTAAGCCACAAACATTTGAACTTCTCCCAGTGTACTGGGGCTGGATTTATTTAGTAAATTTGTTATCTCTTCTTTTAAATTAGATTTACTATACAAGTATGTTGTTTGTCTGTGTGTGAGAGAGAGGTCAAACTTGAAAAAGAAGTGAAGTGCTGTTTGTTTTCTTGACAAAATAATACATTTGGTGTCCCTGCAGAGTTTCCTTTATCTCACTCAGATAATTAGACTACTTTTTAGTTTGGCAAAGATTCTTTTTTCGGTATTCATATTCCATGATATTCCAAATTTAGTCACATTTCATCACCATATTCAACTGTATTGTTTTGTTTTTCTTTCAGATACCTATTTGTATTACAGTTAAAGCAAGATATCCTCAGTGGCAAGTAAGTAATTTCTTGCATTTTAACTTCTACTACCAAACAAAGTACTACGCACAAAACTTTTCATGATGTCATGGTACTCCAAATGAATGTTCAGTGAGAAAGCCAGACAGACAACAGGATAGTTGCCATAACATTGAAGGGATCTGGCGGTGTCTTATCAGTTAAATATTTTGTCTGGCTTTATAGTTTTTTATAGTAATAGTTAAGAGTACCTGCATGATGTTTGTTCAACACATTCTGAGTGGTTATCCAGTCTGGTTCAGAGAAAGTGACAAAACCCTTAACCAACACTGGCTCAAATTTCCCACTCATTGCTTGCCCAAGTCAACATTTTACTGACCCCTTTACAAGGGCTGCTGCATTTGTTATATACAGCAGTCCTGCTGTGTTGTCATTCAAACTGTCATTTCACACAGCTAACATTTATCACTTGATCAAGACAATATACCGTAGTGCCTTTCTTCATCAGTTGGTATCTCTATAAATGTCAACTCATTTGTTGTGCTGGTTGTCATGGACATGTTATTGTAAGAGGCTTACAGGATTACATGTTGGTGAACAGCATGGAATTATGAACAGTAGTCAGTAAGTGGACTAATATTCAACTAATAATAATTTTTTTTGCCACAAAGGAACAATTTTTGCATTGTTTGGCTAAATAATAATAGCCAAAGAGAATTTTAGTGATCTGTGGCAGCATTTTAGCGTCACTGATTTAGCTGTGGCTGACTCTAACCATGTCTGTATTGTCAGGTTAGAATGTCCATTTGAAACAGCGGTGTCTCTGGTGTCCATCTGTAGGCTTAGTGTTTTCCAATTATGCAAACCTGTTGTGAAAATATGACAAATTTTGTCTAAATATGCAGGTTGTGTTTGTCATTTGTGCACTAAGCTGTTCACATTGGCCATTCACAACCAGCATAAGCATGCGTGTCTGAAGTGCAAAATATATGATACTTAAAAATTGTCTGTATTTTCAGGTTAGAATGTCCGTTTGAAACAGCGGTGGAGTTGGCTGCCTTCTCATTACAGGGTAAGCACCCCAAGCAGATTCTCTCCAACTCCAGCTTTTTGTTGATTGGGATCACCTTTGTAACCCCCATTGTTTGTGCAGTGTACTGTATGTGCAATGTTCTTTGCAGTGCACACTGCTTTGCAGAGTTGAGATGTGTATTGTGTTTACTGCACAGAGCCCTACAAGGCCTGTAAAATATGTTGGAGCACTCTCATACCAAGAACCCTGGTGATTTTCAACCTGCAGTGACTAAGTCGCTATTGTAAGAGCTAGTTATGGGTCACAACCCTCCCACATGCACAATAGACATTGCGCCTAGTCCCTACACTTACTTTGTAACTGGTGGTAATAAGTTGAGCTGTGTCTCAATGAGGCGTTCACCAAACAGATCCACATACTCACTTAAGCCCAGCAGCAGGAGTGGACCCTTCTGTCATTGTTACACTACAGCTTTCCTTGATCTTTTTGAACCAGTCATTACTGTCTTTATGAATTACCATATTCACAAAGTGACGCTCCTGGCAACATTGTTGTCATAGACACTGAGGCACATAAACCCTTCCACTACAATGATAAAAAACTCTTTTTAGGACATTTGAATTCTTTAATGACATTTCTGTTCTACTCTACCTCTTACCTCTATTAATTCAGTAGTTTCCCAGTCTAATTTGCTTCCAACAAGTGTTAGTTAAATGTCTGTGTAACAGCAGGAATATTATCTCCGGTTCCCTGCCAATATTTGCTTATCAAGCTCTCAATTAGCAAGTTTAGAGTGGGACAACTTGGTGTCAGGGCAATTGATGTTTTCATAGCTACATACAGTACATTTAAAAGTCCTCTAGTAGAGCAGAAACTGATTGGGCTTTCTTTTGTTGAATGGCAAAGAGCTCATACCTTTTTAAACTACACATATTTACTGTTTTTTAATAGTTCAAAATAGAAGAGCAGTGTAAAGAGTGCTGCTTCAGAAGAACAAAGATTGAGTCATTAGAGACGTTTATGGAATGAGATTGCGTGCACAAACCCATTGGGACACACACATACACACAGTCACTGTGGGGTAAATGCCAGCTCATTAGTGCTCCATCCTCTTTGGAGGCCCCCTAATCCAGCACCCTTTCTGTCTTCTCTCTTTCCTTCAGTTGAGTTTTCTCCCGTTTTCCTTTTTTCAGAATTATATTGTTGGTCCACTGACAGTTACTGGGATAGGGAGAGGATAAGATAATCTTTTTTCTCTTCTATATCCTGAGGCTTTGCTCACAGCTGGACTGGCTAAACAGTCCTGGTCCTACTTTCTCCTATCTACCCAAACACTGCAAAATGTAATCAGAACCAAGACTTTTCAGTTTCTGTACTATTTCTCTTCAGCACCAGAGATTTTTTTTTTTTTTTTTCTTCACCAGTCTTGTTTTTAACACCCTAGTCTCATTTTTATCTTGTGAATATTTGTTTTTTTCCCTGCCTACTTTTTGTCTCCCTTTTTCACCGGATAAAATCTATGACCTCCTGTCCAGAGGGAGATCAGATACCCGTCAGTCCCTGACCTAATGCTACACAATGTATTATGTGCTGTGACATGGAGGGACGGTTTGTTTGTTATTTTGTCCATTAAGATTACCTTCTACCATAGCACCAGACACTTTGCCTGAGCTCCTCTTCCAGGGGTTAAATGTCAAGGTCTTTGTGAACACTAAAGTAGTATTTTAAGAATCTTTTAGCTTTTTATTTGAATTGTACATTGAATTACCTGTTGTTTTTTTTTTTAGATTCACCTATACAGTCTGTGCAACTGTGAACTGATATATAGTATGTGTGTCTTTGTGTTTTCAGCTGAGCTAGGTGATTGTGACCCATTAGACCATAATGTGGACCTGGTGACAGAATTTCGCTTCGTCCCCAACCAGACAGAAGACGTGGAGTTAGCGATATTCAATGCATGGAAAGAGTGCAGGTAAGCATTTTATTATAAAGTGCTGCACATATGGCAGTTAGACTGAATATCTATTAGGAGGAGAATTCACTTACAAAATGACCACATATAGCAGATATCCCATGGAAATAAATGGATGTAGTCTGTATGCTGTGTTGGCTTGTGCTGGGACAGTCACCAGCAACACTTCATAAATACACTATTTTTCATCCCTCTATTTTTTAAAAAATAATTTCCGCCTAGAGCTACAGTTGCATTTTTGATCATGCAAACATTTCTTTCTGTTCTGTTTCTCTTCCTCCTCCTTCCCTTTTTTCTTATTTCAGAGGTCAGACACCAGCCCAAGCTGAAATTAATTACCTGAATAAAGCCAAGTGGCTAGAAATGTATGGCGTGGACATGCATATGGTCAAGGTAACTGACAAATGTGCTTTCTAACTATCATTTACTGTATAAACTGAATCTAAACTTTCATGAAAGACAGGAAGTGGAAGGAATGTGTATAAGAACATAAATCTGTGAAAGGGTCATAAGGTCTCTTTGCTGTCTCTCATTATCTTTCTTTTTCTTTTTTCTTCCTGACTTTTTCTTTTGCCCTGCAGGCAAGAGATGGTAATGAGTACAGTCTGGGTTTGACACCCACTGGAGTTTTGGTGTTCGAAGGACAAACCAAGATCGGGCTCTTCTTCTGGTATGTTTGGTTCTATGCTAATTTACTGAAATATTTACTTAAATGCCTTATAGAAACACTTTCTGTGAGTGTTGCTTTGTATGCATTGAATGTACTCTGCATGTTTTTTATCTGTTATAGGCCCAAGATCACTTGCCTGGATTTCAAGAAGAGCAAACTGACGCTTGTGGTGGTGGAGGATGACGAACAGGTGAACGTGAGCAAACTCACTCAGTTATTTGGATACAGTGAAATGTTGAAAATGCCGAAAATACAGTTAATCTCCCTATACAATGACCCAGTCCAAATGCTTTCAACATACTGTAGCATAATTATTATTATGAATGTACTCTACTTACCACACTTTGTTCTTGTTGCAAGCAGGGCTTTAAAAATAAAAACCACACTTACGTCCGTTAATTACGGATGATATGGTAAGCACTCCGATCATTTTTATGCACATGTGAGTTTGTTAATGACTGAAAGAGCACCTAATCATCTTATGGGCCTATCAAATACTCACCAGGTTCTACTAAGTTTGTAACTTTTCAGAGGATAGCAGGCACTATCAGGCTATAACAGATTTCAATAATGACACTGTTTCATGGGGATAAAAACTACCCCTACCACATTATCACCTTCTCTGGTGTCCATCTATAGGCTTAGTGTTTTCCAATTATGCAAACCTGTTGTGAAAATATGACCAATTTTGTCTTAATATGCAGGTTTTGTTTGTCATTTGTGCACTAAGCTGTTCACATTGGCCATTCACAACCAGCATAAGCATGTGTGTCTGAAGTGCAAAATATATGATACTTAAAAATTGTTACAACTTCTAAGATGAGCTGACTTTGTTGCACCTGTCCCCTTAACAAAAAAGGAAACAATTAAACCACTTTGCACTTAAAGATAGCTCTTAACAGTTTTACTACATGCCATAAACAGATTATAATGCTGCAGGACCAAGACAAGGTTATTTACGGACTCAGGTAGGCTATACAATCCATTCCTTTAAAATCACTTCAAAGAAATTGTACAAAGAAGAATTGTTCCTCGTAATACCTTTTGGTTAAAGTGGTGCCCGAGCTCAAAAAGAGGTTGGTTTCAAATCAAAATGAAACAAGACTTAGTATTATACTACCCAGAGGCTAGTGTATATTAGAGAGTCTGTTTATGTCCATGCTGGAGGTCTGTGAGTGAGGTTAATAAAGAAGCCCACCCCCTCTGGTATTTCTGGTATGCACCATTCTCCTACGCACACAAACAGTTCTCCCCTCCCAACTCTGTCCTAAAGGGTCATATACTGTATGCTAGTCTTGTCAACACAGGAATTTGCTATACTGTATATACTCAATTCTCTTTCAAGATGCTTGTTTGACAAACACAACAGGAGCACCTCAAGATGAAAACTAAAGAGAGAGGGCTGACTGTCAAGGGTCATTTTACTGAAAATTGAGGACTGAGAAAGTGAACAGTCAAACAGAATTTCTAAGAACAGGTGTGTGGCTCTTAAATAGTCATTATTATGAGGTCTTTTTAGGAAGGCCCGTACCCCCGAAAACCCAGAGGCCCTAACTGGAACCAAATTTTGCGTTCTAGTTCAGCTCAGGGGATGGATCTGACTTATAATAACTTTCTACAGATCTCAACTCTGTGGAACGTTTTAATTAGACCTTAAAGGGCATGAGAGGACCTGGAATCTGAGTGATAGCATGAGCAACATATTGTCAACATTGTAGGTTAAGGAGTAAGAATGTAAAAAAAAAAACAATGTGTAACTGTGGCCCTGTGAAGTGAGAGACTGTCACTTGAACAGCAGTCTGACCTGGAGGCAGCCGTTGCAATTTTGAAGGGCTTTTTCTTGCATTAGATCACAGATGCACACATTTTACATTGTCGCTGAATAAATCAGAGGCTATGCATCAGCAGGCTGTCAGTGCTCCCTGCATATGGTACTCAGTATGGATCTTGGTTTGTTGTTTCATTTGTGTGAAAGTTTATGAGGTTTTATTCAGCTTTGGGTAAGATAAGCGGGGATGTAGATTTAATTCCTGTGCTTTAGTGCATATGTGGAATACAAGAGGTACATCTGAAAACCAATGAAGGGAAATCAAGCAAAGAACTGCGAAGAATCTGACTGTGACACTGGAATGGCTCCAGTGCAAGTTTTGCAACCGGCTGTGGTGCCAGGCAGGCTTTCATCTAGGCCACAACGAGAAATCAGATTAATGAGGCAGCATCTGCACACACTATAGTGCAGCCATTCATTCTCCACATTTTAGTCTCATTGCACAAGCAAGAGCTAGCACACAAGCTTTGTCTTCTGAAAATGTGTTGGCTAGTGTTGATCATGTATAACAACAAACACTGTGCCATGGTTGCAAGTTTCATTCTGACTTGAGATGTCTACTTTGTAAAGTAAATTTTATGTCACTGTACTGAGAACGTATCCTCTGTACTCAGAACTTACCCTCTAACTTTACACCACCCAGGGCAAAGAACAGGAGCACACTTTTGTCTTCAGGATGGACCACCCCAAGGCCTGTAAGCACCTCTGGAAGTGTGCTGTGGAACACCATGCTTTCTTTAGGCTGAGAGGGCCGGTTCAGAAGAACTCTGCACGCCCCGGGTTCATACGCATGGGATCGCGCTTCAGATACAGGTAACAGGTTGATGTACTTGCAGATCAAAGGGTTGAGGATGCCTTTTGAATAAGGCACTTTTCTTCTAGGCAGAGTGGGTTGGTACACAAGGGTTGCCATAACCTTTTGTACCAGATATGCAGGGCTTTAAGTTCTCTAGCAAATTTTAGATTCACAAAATAAACTCTGCATGTAAAGCCCATTGCAACAGATTTTTATTGGGAACAAGTTTATAGAAATCAGGTTCAATGCTTTAAGAGAAACAGTGTTTACAGTGCCTAAAAAAAAGTATTCAGTCCCACATTGGAATTGGTCCAAATGCTAGATTGTTCGATTTGACATTAAAGAGTCTCTTTCTGCTGATGTGTATCACAAAGTCTGGAGTGGTCAGCATGTGCACTGTTGTTGTGTGCCGCACATCCTGAGCACCAGTCACTTCTAGCTTGAAGAAAAATGCAGTTGAAATTGGTTTGAGCAACAAATGCATCAGGGCTCGCTTAAAAAGAATATGTTGGGGGGGGGACTGCTGCCGCCGAGTTAAGTGCTACAAATCTAGAGGGCCATGTGTTTGTTTCCGCGCTGTGTGTTCGAACGTACCTACACTGATAATCCTAGTTCGACACACAGTATCATTCTCTGTACATACAAAAACCCCACGTGCGTACACATAGATACTTGCAGTGGTACAAGACAGGCATGCAGTGTCCAAATACCGCAGTAGCCAGCCAGTTCCCTTCTGTGTATGTTTAAACATTACCCAGTTGGATAAGCATTGGCTGTAATGTTGGTTTAACACAGAGGTGACAGGGTTTGTTGTTAATAGAAGGTTATCGCTTGGATGGATCCAGAGTTCAGCAGGGGTCATCGCTGTGCCTTTTGTTTTTGGGACAATGAGATTGATCTAAGAATCATTAGGAAATGTTATATTTTGTATTTAATGATACGCCCTGCATTGGTTAACGTTACCATTACTTAAGAGTCTGGGAACAAACTGAAGCTCTTGCAAGTATAAAATAAACTTTTGTGTTTGTTTGTGTGACCAGTGGAAAGACAGAATATCAGACAACCAAGGCTAATAAAGCAAGGCGGTCAGCCTCCTTTGAGAGAAGGCCCAGTCGACGTTACTCCAGAAGAACCATGCAGAACAGAGGTGAGGACGACACGTACACATCCTTGCCTTCTTTGAAGAGTCGGTATTTGTCTATATTTTAGAATCTGAATGTCACACTTACTGTTTGTTCTTTGTGTTTTTACAGGACAATACCATCCACAAGAGTGAGTACACTGATACTTAAACAATGTGATTGTGCCATTGCCTGATTAAATAACTTTATCTATCCTCGCATTGTTATACAGCTTTACTTTTAGGGTGATGACATGCATATCATTGATCTGTGTGGAAATTATATCATTGTATTTACTGATTGTCGTAGCACCATTGTTGTGTAATCCTGTTGACATTGTCTCATTGTCTTATTTGTGATGAACAACAACAAGGAACAGGCTTGCACTGGAAATTGCTTAGTTATATATCATTTGTCTGTCTACTGTACAGTTATCAAATTAACACTCTCCCTCTTAATTATTCATAAGCCTTGACTGTAATCTTGTTCCAGAGCTAGCCTTTTGTTACATGGATATGTGTGTGGGCTAAAGACATGATGTCACTGGTAGTTTTAAGCTGTCATGGGACCAGTTGACTCAAAGCATTGTGATGATAAACACTCATGTGACTTTTCATTACACTGGACTGGACAGACCTTTACTACAGTGACAGTGCGGGTCCCTTTTGAGCAAGAAAATTAATGCAAAAAGTATTGTCATAAATTCAGTCAAGAAAATACATACAACATACAGTTTAAGTGTTCAGACAACACTGAAAACCAGTCAGTCATTTACAGCATGAATCCATGTACAGTATTAAGAATTCTTTAAGGTGTTTGCTATTTGTTCTTTTAAAAAAAAAAAAGCTCAATTTATTTCTTCCCTCAGGGTTCTTTCATCAGGCAATGGAGTCAGCTCCAGCAAAGACAACAAGGTGAGAAGCTTAACGGTTGTGTGTATTTTATAATTTCTCCCTCATTGTACAGGGAAACAAAACAGAGCGGTGCAACAGACTTACACCAGTTTTTGAAGTCAGAGATGAGACCCAAAACATTAAGTAAGAATCAGACTGCAGGCAAGATTACAAGACCAGCAATTCTAGATGTTTTCACAAAAAACAACATTTGTATAACTACTAGACACAGTTGGCTAACGTAAAACAGCTTAGAATATTACAATGTTTTGACAAAACTATCTTACAATAAGTTGAATGATGGGAAGATTTCAGTTGTGACATTTTCTTTCTTTTTTAACATTCTCAATACCTTCCAATCACATCCTTTGTCCCCATCTCTGTACCTCTACCATCCTCACTCTCAAACATATATTTTCTCTATTTTTCCCCCTTCAGTTTTCTTCCAGTAGAGGTGCCTGGTCAGCCGTACCTGTGGTCAGCCCGGTAGCTGCTTCTGCCTGTGGACCGATGGAGATCGAGGCTCTACCCAGAAGTCCTGGAGGAGAAAAGAGGAGGTTGGTGCCTGAGTAATTTGGATTTTCTGCCTGATTCAGAGTCAATTCTTTTGAATGCCTGCCTATTTTATTTAATTTACATTTTTGGTTGAAATACGCTCCAGCCCCTTTTAATCCTAAAGAAGATAAGCACTGAAGAAAATGGATGGATGGCAATTTTTAAGTTAAATGTCAATTCATTCTACATACTGTATACCAGTGGCAGCTCAGTGCTCTCTGATAATGAGGAAAACAAGACCAGGTTAGGAAAGGTTGGGGTGGGCCGACTGATCCCTGTTGGTTGCTCAAAGAAGTGGGTGTATAGCTAGGTGTGTTTTTCATGATCTAATGCCATGAGAGTGGCTTAACATGGCTTATCCACTGACCCTGGCTTGCTGTGACCACGAAAGGCAGGAACGCAAGGAAGGAGGCAGAGTGTGTTTTTGTGTGCATTTACAAATGCCTGCTCTGTTGTGCGAGTGTGCAAAGTCAGGAAAGATTATGATTCTGCCTTTTTAATTTGATGTACAAAAAATGTGCTGGTACTCAATTAAGTTAAATACCACCCACATTAGCTTTTTTTCCATCTCATGGCTCATTGTTCCTGCTGTTATGCTGTATTTTTTGCCTCTCATTGCTCAGATTTGCTGCGTGTGAGCAGTGTATATAAATGTACTCTGTCTGTGTTTTGTCTAGGATAAATCTGTTATTTGTGGATGCATTTTCATGTGTGGTGGGCAGCTTGAGAGTGTGAATGAACAAGCACATTTACTTATGCTTACAAATATGTATGCACCCTCCTCTTATAAACCTGCAATGTCCCCCTATGTGTTCCAGTATTAACAAGTACTGAGGACAAATTGGTCTTGTCTGGAGGCAGGCCAGGTAGGTATGACAAACACTGAACCGTGCCATTGCTCTGGCTTTAACCAATCAATCGTTATGCAGTGGTGGGCTTTCTGATTTTGGCTTTGGAAAAGGGTTTTCTTGCGATGGAATTGTCTTGTGTGATTTGCTGTCTGTCCACTTCTGATCAGCATGAAATGCCAACCTAATCGTCGCAGGAAATGATGTAATGATTTGGGGTTTTTCAGCTTTGGATCTGTTCTGTTAAAGTCTTGTCGCATTTTAGTTTGTAGGTGTCTTTTACTTTCAGTCATCTAATGTCATGCTGTGCATCCTGGGAACCGCCTGCCCCTCTATAAACCCTTAGTCACAAGATATAACAATATTTGAGTATGAGTGTAGGTTTGCTTGCAAGTCAGCTTATGGCCAACTTTAACAGTGATGCTAAAGAAGAAAAATGTATTATGTTTAGTGGTGAGGCAGTAAGAAAACATTACTTGCCAGTGTAAAGTAGATACTCTTACTTCCTGAGCAGAAATACTCTGGCTTATGGGGAACAAAGCTTATTCAGATTTACAGCTCAGGCTGATCCTTTTTCAAGTAAAGTAAATTTCTGGTCAGTTGTAATAAGAGGATTGCCCGTCATTTCTGTAGAGCAGGAACCCTTTTTTTCTTAATTTATCTACACAACAGGATGCACAGACATGACCTTGGATAGGTCCAGTGCATAGACAGCGATGACCTATCACAGTAATTATGCTGTATCCTCTTCCTCCAGACTTTGTTGCCCGAAAGGTAAACAGCAAATCCAAAAGGCTGAAAATACTGATTATTCAGATTTTATTTTTCTTCCGCAATGTCCTTTTAAAACGCACCCTATTAATTTGGTGCTGTATAGCAAGGGCTCTCTGTGTTTTTACTTCCCACTTTGTGTCAGTTGTAAGTGTGTTTAAGCAGGATTAAGTTTACAACCTACTGTTTTGTTTTAATAGCGCCTACCAGGTACAGGCCCACATTGCTCTGTGGTAGTCCAGTGTTCCTGAGGCAATGTTGTTGAGCCTTCAGAAACGTATCCAATGATAAGGGAAAAAGTATTTTTTACCAACACTGACACAAGTAGTACAAGTTCTCGGGTATTTTATCAGCACAAGATATTACACTGAAATTACCTCTGAGTTTTTGTTTATGCTGTCACCCATGGAAACTGACTCAGTGGATATGAGGAGGATGCTTTCAAAGAGACATTGCTGTATCATTCATACTTTCCTAATCTCTGGTGCTCTTACCTTTTACCACCCACGCCTTCCTCCCTTGCTTTTAGTATAACATCTCCTTTGATTTTGCATGGACCACTAAACCCTAAGCTGTTTTCCTGATAACATGAGTAGTCAATCTCCTCTGTCTATAATTCTCTAGCTTTACCATGCACAAAAGAGAATAAATACTGTATATGCTTAAGCCTATTGCACTTGCATATAAATGTATGATTTAAACCCAAATCAGTTCTTAGCACGCCTGTATAATGGCGGTGTACTTTTTGTATTGTTCCCTTGCTGCGTTAATCGGACATATAGCTGTATTCTCTCCTTGTTTTAAGATGTCTTATACTGCTGTGTGTGCATCTGTTGCCTTCTCTCTAACCCTTCCCTCCCTTTCCTGTAAGCTACTTCACTACTCTGTGAACTTATCATAAGTGAGAGTAGATAACTCCTTAGATCAGTGCCATTAGAATGCATTCCTCACATATTATTGCCCATTGCTAACAATGGCAAATTTAAAAGGTCAGTGGAAGTTCATCTGCTGTCAGTCGAGTCAAAGATCATCAAGTTAGAAACTGTTTTACAGTGGCAATGGGAAATTGTTTGCTACCTTGCCTCTTACGCTCCCAGTGGAGCTGTCATCATGAATAAAAGCTTCTGGCTCCAGGCCTCCAGCACTGAATATATAAACACAGATTTGACATAAGCCATCAGACCTCAGCCGCTGGAGGTGCAAAGCCAGGTCACTGACGCTCCAGAGACATCCAGTCCACTTCACTTAACTCAAGTGTTCATGTCACAATACTTGTCACTGCACACTTAAATGTACATGCACGCTAGTGTACTGTGTAGCAGAAGCAATGTACTATAAATTGCATGGCTTATTCAGTATCCTGACAATCCCAGGCTTATCACGAACATGAACGACTTATTTATCCAGTCCACTAAAATAACATTTTTGTTATTATGATCACCACGATTTCTTTTGTCTGACTGTAGTTTAAAATAAACTTTATTATGGCCTAAGACAAAATAAAATGCAGTTCTTGGTGCAACTGTAGAGGATCTTCAAGGAACCTTGTTTCTCATACATGCAACGACAGACTACAAAGTCAGCCTGCAGTGAATTACAAAGAATTAAGCGCTTTCAGACTCATGTTATCAGCTGCCTCACATTCTCTTCTACTGCCTTCTCCTCCTCCTTTTTCTTTATACTTGTGTTAAACTAGCTGTTTCTTGGTGTTATCTTTCTCTCCCTCATTCATTTACATACAATCTCCCTCTCCTCTGTGCTCTTTTCATTCAGTGCTCCCCTTCCTCTCCCCCTCCCGTCTCACATTTTGTTAACCTACACTCTTTACATCCCCCACCTGTTTGTCGCCTTCCCCTCCTCCACCCTGTTCTCCCCAGGTCTCCTCTTCCCTCCATCCTTCCTGCTCATGTCTCATCAAAGCTCCGAAGCAGTTGGACACATCCAAGCAACTGACAGCGGCCTCAGCCTCTGTACTGAAATGAATTGGACAGCACACAGATAAATGGGAATGGCTCAGCAGTGACTCACCCTTGAAAAACGTCTGGTATTTGTGGTAGTGATTGCACCACATGGAAGGACACATTTAGTGTGAATGCAGAGATGCCTTATTAACTGAAACCTTCCTCAACACAAACTGCTCAAATATTGAGTCTGGTACCACCCCTCACAGACTGACACCTCTCCGTGCTTGCCATCACACTACCGTCACACTTGATACTGCCCTTTTCTTTTCAGCGTGTTAGTCAATGCCTGCATTTCCCTCCATGTTTCCTTGACTCACAGTCCAGTGACAATTCTGGACAATTCTCTTTCCTCTGCCATTTTCTCCATGTTGTTACACTTGGTATGTCTCTCATTCTGTCTCTCCTTTCCCCTTTTCCTTCCTCTGTCCTTCACTCTTAACCTCATGGTGAAACTGCCTGGCTGGGGCGAGATGGTATCAATGTGAGGCTTAGGAATTCAACTCCACTCTGCAAGGAAACAATAAGTCACATAGTTCCTGGGGGTTTCAATAAGTCCGCTTCTGCTCTCATTGTCATTCTCTCAAAAGTAGCTTTGTTTTTTTAAATAATATTTCAAACATTGTTGCTGTATTAATTTGATTACATCAAATGATTTTTATATAAGAATATATGATTTTATCTATGTTGTATTTAATCTGGCCTGCACATTTTATGGTTTTCTGTTTTTAAAAAGGTAGTTGGATAAGTAGGTCAGTATCTTTCTCATCTGTAGAGATTTGTCCAAGAGGTTATTAGCCTAGCCTACTACAAAGAAATAACAAGCAGGGGAGAGTTGTTTTCGCTCATTTTTTTGTTACGCATTTTAGAAGTGCTGCATTGATGCATTTTTGTCTTTGGTTGGAAGTTAGCTGTTTGTCCTTACTTCTGTGTTAAGCTAGCCTAACACATCCTGGACTCTATACTCAGAAATTAGATTGATACTGACCTCCTCATCCAACAAAGAAATCAAACCAGCATAATTCTATCAAAACATTTTAAACAGAATCAAAATTGAATGTAAATTCTTTGTGTTTTTAGTACACTGTAACAGTTTGTTTTGTGAACACAACTGCAGTGGTGTAGGCACAGTTGGAGGGTTATTATGAAATGACCCAACCATGAAGGAAAGGGTGTGATCGGCTGATACATAGAGCGGTCTATAGAAGTTGATATTCACTGAATACTTACGTACACCTCAGCTACACCACTGTTTCTTGCACAGCTCAACCAATGAAAATGAATTATTAATATTATTCTTAGTTAAATGTTTACAACATAACTGACCAAAGTATGTATATCTTTCTGAACTGTATGTTGAAAACCATTTCAGAGAATAAAGATAGGATTACTCTTGACACAGTAGACTATGTAGCTTTATGTAGCATCCTTTATGTGTGTTTGATCACACTACAGTGTATATACACTGATTTGGCTGTTGGGCTCTCGTTAGTACAGAAAACATCCTGGTATTTTTATCTTCTTTTGAGGTGTCTCAAGTTGTACCGTAGCTGTTAAACAAAGAAATCAGATTTAAAAATGATAGACGCAAGTTGGTGGATTGGTAAAAAGTTGCTGTTGACTATGAAGCACAGTAACAAAGGAAATCTATATGCAGTCTTACATTTGGCTGCTACTTTAATGGTTTAAACATTGGGATAGTTGGAAAAGATTCATCACTGAAGATCTCCCAATGAAATCTCTTTAAAAAAAAATCTATAAGAGACTACTTCTCCAAACCAATTGAACAGCACAGACTAAAGATGAGCAGCAACAGAGTACCTAATGGCTCTTTAATGTTTGGTTGTGTATCTGCCCCCCCTTACTGTTTTATTGCCCACATGAGGGTTGGATACATCCTCATTGTTTCCTTCATGGATTGCTAAACATATAGGAGTGTTTATGTACATTTGGTTTGTCAGACAAAGCATTGTTTCGTTCTTCACATCTTTGTGTGTGTTGTTCGGTAGCTCCTCTTCTTTTCAGGCACTATGTAGTAATATGTACTTCTCATGTTTCACTTTGTCTTCAGGCTACAGAAATATGAGGTAATTACTAGGCTGCTGGAAGAGCTTCTCTCCAAATCCATGTATCAAATTTTTTTGCTTCAGGTCGCTTCAAATTCAGAGGATATTACAGTTTGTTATTTCCTAGAAAAGTTATTGCTTTCTTTGAAGACTTATTTCCATGGGCTGAATCATGCTTCTTTACCTCTTGAGAAGACCTTTAAGGGCAATATTGTTTATTTTTAGGGCTTCCCTCTTTGGACACGCACCTGCCATATTGTTCTGGTAGAAAGTACAGTAACTGTCTTTGTACTTTCTTGTATTCCTGATAACAAACATTTCAAATTCAGTGGATGTTTGAATATACTTGCAAACCCACTAGAGCAATTATGAATCTGTGAATATGGGATTTGCCAGAAGCTTATTGTAAGTCATTATTTCAGATATATATTTTTTTTTATACATAAATATATTGTATTCAATAGATTTCACAGTTTTTTTTAGTTTTTTTTTTTTACTATTCTAATTTTGTTGTTTATAAAAAATCTTCTGATATATCATCATGGGCCAGTTTTGCACAGTCCTTTCATATCTAATGGATGCTGTAGGTAAGTTGTACAGCTGTATAATGCTGAATTATTTTATTGGTAAATTGGTTAAACACCTGCATTATCTCCTGTATTGTATCTGCTTGTGTTTATATTTAAACTTCATCACTTTTAACCCCCCATCTTGATCTACAACTTCTTTTTTTCTGTCTCTAGTATGCCTATAGTTGCTGACTTGATGGAGACGTGCATTGATGATGTCCTCAGGGCTCCTGTCGTTCCCACAGTGACAGCTACAGACGAGGCCGGACCAAGCAATGCCTATGCTGCCCCCAGTGTCACCGGGGAAGATCCTCTCAGCCTCAGTGGTGAGGCTATAGAAAACCTAACAAACATACCACAAAGTGAATTCAATGAATTGGATATTCTATAGGAAAATGTTGTTGACAGACTGGCAATTTGGTTTTGGAAGCCTAATCTTTAGAATAAGCCAGTGTAATCCTATAAATATCCCTAGTGTGTATGAAAATGTATTTGGCAGGATAATACAATATAGTGTCGGTGTGTCAGACTGTGAGATGGTGGCACCACCAACCACCACTCGGCTCTCAGCTTCACATCTAATACAATTACATTGCCTCTGATCACATTTTTCTGGTATTTACAGCAATAGCCTCACTTACATTAAGTCAGTCAACCCACACAGCTGATTATGCGGTTTGTGATGTTAAAGACAAGTAAACAATAGAGAAGTTCTAGACACTGAAAAGGGGCACATAATTAATATCACTTGTAATTTTAAATGTACATGTTTCATAGTGCATGCACTGAAAGATTACAATGTAGTTGTGTGGGTGTGTATTTAAGTTTAACACTGTCTGTCCAGAAACAGCAGCACGTCTGAAGCAGCTGGCGTTGGACAGCAGTCCTCTTCTTGCTGCTCCAAGAAATAACATCAATGTCAATATGGCCATGAACAATCAGGTGGGTGTTTATATAGTATTTCTGTACATTTCTAAAAAATAATGTAAGATGTAGAGTAGTAACACATGCAGTGTTTGATCAAAGCCCCAGCATAGAGAAATTACAGTACGGGGTATCATAGGATCATAGTGTATGGTCCAGTTTGTTCAGAAGTGATAACCATATGTTTCTCTCATTTTTTGTTTTGAATGTGTGTGTCCCATTTCACCCTGCTCCAACAGGAGGACGTGGTGAAGCTCACAGAGAAGTGTGGTCTGAGCAGTACAGGCAGTAGTAGCCCAGTTGTCACTCCACTGCGCACCCCAGAGGATCTGAAGAGTAACATCCTGAAAGCTCAAGCTGAGGCTGCTGCCATCAAGGTGAGGAACAGACCACACAAAAGGGAAGAAAAGGAAGTGGAAAGACACTCCATTGAGATTAAGTGATGCATTGTATTGTTTAGTGATCATACTTTGAGACATGTAAAAGGATAAACATCCCATTATCATTTTAAGGATAAAATAGTTTTAACAAGAGAACTCTTAATGCTGGTTACTCTCACCTTTTGATGCTTCCAAATTGGTTTAGGAAATTTAAATACAGCTTTATCTGTATGTATATTAAATAATAGTGCATACTGTCTACTTCCTAATAGTGTGGGCTTCAGAATAAAATCATCACAGCTACAGAATATCAGTAATTTGAAAAACATCCATGTTAATGTCATAGTTGTGATGTTATTCTGGATCAAGTGAGATTGAGATGCATGGCTGTATTAGTCCCTCAGCCCTCTGTCCATCTGTTTGTCTATTTATCCACTTATCTTGCTCTCCCTGTTTCTCCGTGTAGGGACCTTTGGAGGAACATGTGGTAATGGTTGGAGATAAAAACTGTAACTTGCAGGATGCTTCTACCAGGTACAGTATGCCATAATGTAATGTCAGTAAAATATATTTTTGATTATAATGAATTAATTCTTTATTAAACTGAACTTCTAAGTGTTAGAAATGATCAAGAAAATGTTTCTTCCAAGGATTCCAAACATGCAAAATATTCATAGGTTTGTTTCAGCCTCATGCTGCATTTACAACAATCTGTTTTCCTTTTTTTGTCCGTACGGAGCACACATGGACAGGAGAAAAGCCATTGTCACTTGTGCTCCATTGTCTTGAAACTGGGTCTTTTCCCTCCTCCTCCATCTTCCTGAGTCATACCAACTGTCAACACATTGTTTCAGCCAATCGCAGCGCACCCTGCTGCTAGAGCTGATTAACTACTTGAATATTCATGAGGATTATTAGCATAGTTCACAACATTACATCACCTGCAGCTCATCCTTACCACCCTCCACAGATTGACAAGCAAGTCGCTGTTAGAGGCAGTGGCTCAGGATGATAAGAGGAGAATACTGCTATATTCACAATATATATTATACAAACAATATAAAATCCATTTTAAATGTTTTACCTTTTTCCCCTCGTCTTTCTCCCTGTACCCTATTCAACTCTTGATTTATGTTGAATTTGTTTATTGTTATAAGGAGATTTTACTCTGTATTAGAATTGATTTGATCCTATCTTGTGAGTCAGGTTTTTTTTTTCTTTCTCTGAATATTTCATGCTAAAATGTGCATTATATGTAGATACACCAAATCATTGGCACAAAACAAAAATATGTACCATCTGTTTCCAGGTTAAAGGTGCGCACAGGGCGACTGGGCAGTAACTCGTCTCTGTCCGTTAGCAGTCGTGCTGACATCCAAGACTCCTGGGACCTGCTGAAGCCAGCCTCACTGGTCTCATCAGCAGGCGCCAGGTCAGTCTGTGTACTAAATGCTTTTGTGTTCGGTTTGTACTTTCTGTGTACAGTACTGCCCACTCCTTACATCCTTACCTACATTTTATTCAAAACAACCATGTGCATCTTCATGAAATCCATTACATATTATAATTTAAGTTTTTATTTTATTTTGTATTATTTGCACATGTACTTTAAATGTGTATATATATCCAACAATAAGCCAACAATGGCTTATGAAGATACTTCCCCCTTATAAATATAATCCTACTTTATAAGACATTTTTAGGTATATATTGACTATAGATATTGATTAATCACTATACCTGCTTTATAAGGATGGGGTGAATTGATTATAGTTTACTATGCCTATAACTTAAAACACACCTATTGAGTATTCACTTAACCTACTTAAGCTGTTAGGACCTTGAGAGTAGGACCGAAGAAGAGGCTTTGACCATTCAGATCTTTCTTCTTTCCTTCATAAAACAAGTATAATATACATTTCACAATGATCCATTGGAGACAAAGGTGTTGCTTGTTCTTTGTAGTCTCTGCTGACATCTGTTGGCATGTTTGAGCAATGTGTGTGTATCTGGGTGTGTTGAGTCACATGACTTGACTTCTGCCTGGATACTGCTGGTGTCCTTGCTCAATAAGTGTTTACAGGATGACACAAAAATACAGAGACACGCAGTGGCTTGACCGGACTGTTCACAAAAGCTGTTAAGACCCAGGCTTATTGGTGCAGTAAATGCTCATACTATCCAGGCTGTTTTTGTTTCTCAGTAATCAATTAGTCAGTCACAAAACATCAAGAATTGTTTTCATCACCAGTTAATAACTAAACCCATTTGTCTTGTAACTTTAATATCATTGTAAAAATACCCTGGGGATTTGGACTGTTGGTCGTATAAAACAAGTAATTTGAAGTCTTGTCTGATGGGCTCGAAAAATGAGGGAATGAGAAAAATGCTCCAGTAAATGTACCAAATAAATCTGTTTTTTTAATATTGCTCTATCTCAAGAATGAGTGACTTGAAATACATTTCTGTTAATGTTTGTGTGAGGATTTTTCTGTCAAATGGATTCTTTGTCCATTGCTCATTGTTTCTCTTGCTCTGCTCATCAGTGCTGAGAGGCTGACTGAAGATTTAAACCCCTCTGTTCCCAAGATGCCCTCTGAGTCTGCCAGCGAAGGCATGGCAACAAAGGTAACATGATTTAAATGGTTAAATTACTTATTGTGGTGCATTTACATTTGCTACCATGGGAATAATAGCCATGAATCATTTTACAGGTGTACAATGTTAAGTGTTAAATGTTGAAAGCAAGGGGAACTTGTATTGGTGTCTTTGTTTGTATGTTGTCGTTAAAAAATGGTGTCATTCTGCAGGTTAAAGCAGAGGAAGTTGACCTGCAAAACACCGCCCAACTATCTGACAACCTGATAGATTTCACAGATCCAACTCCTGTTGTAAGTGTCAGCTGATTGCAACGAGTTGTAATTTATTAAATTCCTGAAAATATATTCATCTAAGTCTGAATCTTATGGACAAGCTCAAGTACACTAGGAAGGAAATATTGGTCATTGCAGGCAGTAAGCCAGCGCCCTTGACTAAAGACAAACTCACTCTAACCTCCCAACTGAACTGCACCAATACATCACATATTCACCCTCATTCAGAAACGTTAAACCCAGCTGTAGCCCCCAAAAGAGTGTGAACATAGCTCCAAAATCTATTAGGAATAAGAATTTAAATTAATGTTAGTGATGATAAACATTCACAACATTTATTAATATGTAGTGAGAGAAACTGAACTTCAAAATGTAACTTAATTCGGGACATATGTAATGTAATTCTGTGTTTTAGTAGTAGTGTTTGGAACTATACTGACAGTCACAAGTCTCACTCTAGGAAGAAGTAAACCTGTATCAGCAATCTGGGGTCACACATGGGTGAATGCCTGCCCAAAAGTTTGTATAGTCAATAGAGCGTGACAACATTTTTCTGATTGTCTTCCAGCTGCCACCAGTGCAGCAGCCCAAACCTGTCATCACACCTCGCTGGATCATTCCTACAACTGCTGTGAGTGATTGATCTCTGGGTTTACCTGTCCAACTCCTCTCCCGTTCAGCTCTCTATCTGGCCTTTGTTTCTGCCTGTCTTTCCCTCCACAGGTTCTTAAGAAATGTTTTAGAGGGTTTTGATGTGTATTTAATTGTCTTCATTTGTGTCTGTTGTCCTGAAACTGGTGATAAAAGGCTTATTGCACTTGCTTAGTTGCTGTTCACTTTGGCTGATTTAGAAGCTCCGTAGAGTCTGACCTCCTTCCTTCTCCCCCATCCCCTTCTAATGCAGCCTCCCGGCGTCTTTACTAACGGCCTGCTCGACCTTGACCCCCCTGCTAAGGTCAACCCTCTTCTCCCTGCAGATGGGGGGGCAGCTCTCACCCCAGCCCTCCCACACCTCGCTCACACGTGTAACACCGTCTCCGCCAGGTAAAAATTCTCGAGAGCCCAAATCACTTGCAGGTTGTTTTTTTACAGCAAGCTTGGTAGTGTACTGACCCCTGCTGATGAAGCAGGAAAAGGCCTCCTTTAGCTCAAAGCAGAGTTTGAGGGTGAGCTGAATCACTTGTAATTCCTGCTTGGCCTTGCTACTTTGAGAAATCATGAGCTCCCTCTTGAGGCTTCAACATTGTTTCTGTCTGTCAAACAGTGGTAGTCACTACAGAAGTTGTTCATCCTGGAGGAGTCCATGATAGACACAGCAGAGGTCGCAAAATAGCAGATTAAGTCTGTTGCAACAAGTTATCATTAAATCATCAAAGTTATCATATTGTAAACTACTCAAATGTGTCCCTAATTCCTCATGCACACAGAGAAAAATCATGTAAGTAGAGTTCAGAATGATAGCTATGCATCGCACAAAGTGATGGATATTTTATCATATCAGTTTTATTTATGAATTCGGCAAAGGAACTTTTTAAAGCAGTATATTTCAGGAACCGAATGCTCATAACCTTTCAGTCAACATTAAAGTGTAAGTTTAATGCCTTTTCCTTAAAAGCAGTCTCTCTCTCTGATGCAGTAATTTTGCCTTCCTGTGTCCCACAGCACTGTGGGTCAGCAGCCAGCCTCGGACAATGGAGCCAAACCCAGAGGTCTCCTGACCACTGAGCTCTGATGGAGAAATGAGGAGCAGCCATCACAACATTTGTCACCCAGACTGCTTTCCCCACCTCACCCCCTCACCCATCCACACACAAGCAAGCTGGGCCAGGTGTGCTGAACACTGAGGGCCAAGAGGAGAGTGGAACCAGGGAAGTGGCAGCTTACAAGCACCACAAACACATTTAAACTAAGTACACAGGACAATAATAGGAGTATGATTACAGTATCACATGGCACAGACTAGTTGAAACAGTTAAAACAAACACGTAGCACCAGTATTAACATTTTAGGAACACCTAACTTGTGAATCACCTGTTTGACTTCACTGTATGCTACCTGCCATTTGCTCCATCCATCCAGTCAACCAAACCTCGGTCTTTAATAACTACCACCAACTCCTCGTAGACAACACGTGATGAAAACTGTTGTTGTTCAGCTTTTTTTTGCTACAGAGGTCAAGTTGGGGCTGACACAGTAAAATCTCATGAAACTGTAAGGTATGTTGCATAAACGCATCCACCATTGACTTGTGACTTTAAATGGTAGGTTGTCTCTTTTAGTGCTGCTTTCCCCTCCCCCTTTTTTTGAGTCATGCTGTTGTATCACTGGTAATTCACACCACTGGATCCCTGCTACCCTGAACTTTCACTGTACACTCACTGATCACACAGCATGTGGAGCAGCTGAAGTACACTGGATGAAGGACTAAAATGAAAAATCTCTTAAAAAAAAAAAAGAAAGACAGACACTGACTTAAAATGTTGATTCTAAGAGATAAAAGCACCTGGACTCTTAACATGAAACGTGACACTGTACTGTCCTTGTAGCACACTACAACCCTTCTTTTTTTTTTTTTTTTTAAACTCAACCGATACTACATGTGAAACTCGACTGTTAGCAGCCACTGGATATGAAAACTTCACTGGATTATCTTTGCAACAATGGACCTTGAAAGGATTTTTTGCAATGGATGACAATAGAGACGACCTCTTTGGTTTTTAAACTGATGTTTTTATTATCCTGCTCTTATTTTCTTCTTTTTTTTTTTTTCGTTGTTTTTTTATGTTTTAATTTGCCCTTCGCAGTACTTTTTGCATTCGCACACATCGGTACCCTCATCATTAGAGGTTGAACATCACTAATGAAAGTTAGTTCTGTGTCTCGTTTTGGACGCTCTATGTTCTGCTTCTCTGTGAACTCTTGGCTTCGAGTTTTAATGTTTAGTCTAAAATGTGATTCCTTTTTAGTTTGTTTTCACTTAAAACCACTGCTTCCACCTGTGGCAAGTTTTGATTCACGTTAATTTTAACTTCTAAACCGGTGATGTAAATGCGCCACGTGAAGGCAAGAAGCCGCTGAATTGCTGTTGAAACCTTTAATTGAGCTGTGATCCCTGGAGGTGAACGCCGTTTCTCAGTTTTTGGATTACCTAACTGGATATGTGAGTTCATTTTGGACCCTGTTATAGAACGTGGTTCCTGGTATTAACACGTTGTAGCTACTGCCCTGCCTTATGGAAATGAATGTATTCGAATAGTCTCATCTGAGAATGCTGGAGATGCCACAGTATGTAAACATCCCTGAGAGTTTTATGACTTAAATTCACAATTGCTGATGTAGTTTATAACTGGAGGAAAACTTTTGAAGTATCTTAAAAGCTGATTTTATGTGAAATTGAGGCCTAATTCTACATTTTCTGAGTTATTAATGAAGTATATCAGGTTTTTTTTTTATTTCAGTACCCCATACATTGTAATCACAAAGTCGGGACCCTCATTCAAGTTATATCTGTGTAGTTTTTTTTCATTATGTTGATTTCATTATCTGTCTTGAACAAGGGAAGCTGACTGTTTTATAATGTCTTCTTAGCAGTGACGGTTATTTATGCTACTACTCATTGTAATTGTTCAAATATGACATGTTGTCCAAAAGTGTTGTAGTATACAGTTATAATGTATTGTCAGTATAATGGCATCAGCTGGCTGTAGATATGAAGTAGATTTATATATTTTTTTTGAAAGTTATGTTGGCAGTATTGTCACTACATACCGAGAAGATTTCAGCATCAACGTGTTTTCTAATTACTGAAGAAGTAGGAAAACGTGTAACTGATCCAACTGACAGGAGAAACACTGAGATCGTGATGTCTCAAATGCAATTTTATATAAACTTATTTTTTTCTGGAAAATCTGATCATGATTCAGTAAAGCTTTGCTACAGTAGGAGTCAGTTGTTTTCATTCATGTTTGTTGTTTGGCTACTGTTGAAATGAATTCCCTACAAAGGACATTATCAGTGATTTCATTTGTATGATATATATGTGTGGATGGATGGATGGATAGATGGATAGATAGATAGATGCATACATACATTCTGATTTTTGTCTTGTCAAGCCAGCTATGAAACACTGACTTCAGGAGGTAAGAAAAAAATATATTGCAATTTTGCAATTCAATTTTTTTTTAAATTCATTAATGAAGCTCTCGTACTGTATCTGTATCAGAAATGTAGCAATAACAACTGACTATGTATTCAGAATGATTTTTAAGTGATAGCCTGGATCTCAGTTTTATTATAATCTGGGTTACTAAGTAACAAAGTGTTTTTTTTGCCATTGCAGCCCTCCACAAGGTTTTAATTTATTCCTTCTTTTTTAAGCACATCATCCACTGAAGTATAAAGGAAAAACCTTTCAAAACAATTCATGTTTTTCTTTGAACAGATCTGTCTTGTTAGTGTTATCAGAGAAGTTAAAGGTAATTTACAAAGTCTTCAATAAATGATATGATTTGGGTTATTCTAGTTAAGAACCGTTGAAATAACTAATAACCAGCTAATGTGAAACCCTTTTTCCCTCCGTTAGTGAATATAATGTATAACTGAAACAGACTATATATGGTACATTTACTTTTCTTTTACATTTCAGGTAAACATTTTCTGCAATGCAAGAGTCAGAAAGCTCAACTCTCCCAACTGTGGAAAAGTATTACAAATTAAAAACAATATAGAGTTTATATTGTAAAACCTAAAATAACAAAGTGGAGAAAGTTCACTGTAGGTATTTTTTTCAAAATAAACTGATCCATTATGTGCAGTACCAGGACCCTGAAACTGAAGCCTTTAAAAGGAATCAGGCAATTATTTATTGTATTATTTACACCTGTGATTTGTGAAATGTCATCAATGAGAAATACCGATTTGAGTCGAAGTGTAGAGCCATAAAACACGTCATTATACACTCTGTAATACACAAGTTAAAAGACGAATGCATGAAGACTGTCTGCAGAAAGTTGCGTGTGAACTGCAGCCCTTTGAGTTCTTTATATTAAAACTTTAAAATAGATTAATTTAACGTACAATAAATGAAATATAATTACTCTGACAGACACGCTGAGCAGACAAACCTTTAGTGAACATGGCAGCACTGTAGCTGTAGGTCTGTAAAGAAAGTCAAGCTTTACCCAGCAGGAAACAGTCTTTAGTGTATGTTAGCCAATTTACCACTGGATGGCAGCAAAGTACTATTTTTAGAGTTGAGCAGTTGATTTTTTCTTCCTCCTGCATCACTAACTCCAATTCAGATGAGGGCCTAATGCAGTGCTGCTAATATTTAAGTTGTAAGGAATTTAAAAAAGTTGCTCCTCCAAGAAGATATATGTATGCCTTTGAATTTGAAAAAGCTAAACAAACATTGCATTTATATTCAAGGTGCAACAATATTAAATATATTTTCAGTCTGCAACACATTGTAAAACAGTAACATCCTCAGTGACACACAAAATGTTTGATTTTCCACTGTTAAAGGAAATGTTTGTTAATTTATGTATGTACAGACTGTTGTGCATAAGTCGGATCAGGCCAGGAGTTAAATCAGCCTATACTTTATCTCCTGGGGAGTATATCCAGTATCAGCAGCAGCATTATGCAGGTCAATTTCAATTCATTTTATTTGTATAGCGCCAAATCATAACAGAAGTTATCTCAGGACACTTTTCAAATAGAACAGGTTTAGACCGAACTCCTTATAACATTATTTACAGAGGCCCAGCAGTTCCCACCATGAGCAAGCACTTGTTGACGGTGGCAAGGAAAAACATCCTTTTTAGAGGCAGAAACCTTTGTCAGACACCGGCTCTAGGTGGCCGGCTGTCTGCCTCGACAGGTTGTGGTTAGAGAGGGAGGGAGGGAGGGAGGGAGGGAGGGGGGGGTAAAGAGGGAGAGAGAGGTAAGGGGATGGGTGTAAATAGAGAAGGAGCCGACAGAGACAAAGGTGCACAGCAGCAGCAGCAACAACAGCAGCAACTATACCAGTAGAAGTGACTAATGATGATGATAATGATAATAATAATAATAATAATAATAATAATAATAATAATTATAATATTAGCAGTGGGAGTCCAGCAGGACCATGGCAGGAGGCTCCACCAGGATCAATGAGAACCTGCAAGATGAGAAAGCACAAGAACTCCAGGGAAGAAGTGAAGTTAATAACATGCATTAATGGGGCATGAATGAGTGCAGAAAGAGGAAGAGAGGAGCTCAGTGCACCATGGGAAATCCCCCGATAGTCTAGGCCTATAGCAGCATAACTAAGGGATGGTTCAGGACTCACCTGATCCAGCCCTAACTATAAACTATATCAAAGAGGAATGTCTTAAGCCTACTCTTGAATGTGGTGAGGGTGTCTGCCTCCTGAACCACAACTGGAAGCTGATTCCACAGGAGAGGAGCTTGGTAACTGAAGGCTCTGGCTCCTGTTCTACTTTTAGAGACTATAGGAACCACAAGTAGCCCAGCATTCAGAGAAGCGTAGTGTTCTAGAGGGGTAATAGGGTACTATGAGCCCTTTAAGATATGAAGGGGCCTGACCATGAAGAGCTAAATTCTATTCTGAATTTTACAGTGCAGAGAAGCTAACACAGGAGAAATATGATCTCTTTTCCTAGTTCCTGTCAGTAGTCTTAACCTCTAGAGTGTAGTGTAGCTCCAGAATGAGATATATATATATATATATATATATATTTAATCAACATATGGAATGATCATTTTCCTATCTACATTATTAAAAATCTACATGAACCCGATCAAGGACTTAAACAGGATTTCAGTGAATATTTCCCCCTGGATATACTTTGCCCTGTCGAGAAATGACAGTTGAATATCTCCAGGTTACTGTCTCATTTGCTCAGGGAAAGTGTGTTAATCAGATCTGATGTGAGCGATGTCTGCAGCAGGTCACAGCAGTTATTTGTGAGTGGATGAGTAATGCTCACACACTGTTCTCCTTTTCCACATAGTTTACAAATTAACCATCATGTCCTCAGCTGCTTCGTTAACAAGGCACAATAATAAAAAGAAGCTCATTATGGACCACAGTTCAGTGGTTGCTGCCTTAAAAAAAATCCTTCAGGGTTACATCATGTTAGAAAATCTTCAGTCAACATCAGAATGAAAGCAAAGACACTGCTGTTATTTGTCAATTGCCATATTGGTTTACATTTCAAAATGCAGTGATTTGAAATTGATTGACTGCGACTGGTCCCTGCTACAGAGCAATACATAGTTGGACCATTATTAAACAGCAGACAGCATACAGCTCAATAACTCAGCCAGGACTGCTCCCCTCAGCAGATGGGCCGACTTTCCCCCACCTTCCAAATGAATAATTGATTACGTACATGGACCTTATGCCAGGTCATGATTGCTTAAGCATGCTCAAAGCTCTGGGTGGATTCATGGAGATTTGGCGTAGGGCCCGTGCCCTGATGTCACCAGTTCAGATCTCACTAAAAGCAAACATAACATAACATATCATTACTGTTGGGTAAAAACCATGTGCATTTTTTTTTTTTTTTTTTGTGTAAACCATCAGCCTTGTTTATAGTTTGATGACCAGATGTCCAATGTTAGTTTTCATTTTCAGAGTCAAGGTTTGAAGAACAGCAGAGGATATAACAGAAACAGATCAACATAATGGGTGTTAGTCTTCATGAAAGCCTAAAATCCAAAGAAAAGATAAACGTGTTGCACCAATTTAAATCCATTAACTTAGTGATAACACACCAAAGGCCTTTGAATGTTTCTTTGAATAAGGTATTTGGTGCCGCCAAAAGTCCTCGCTCTGACATAAAACAAATGGTGTGAATTTGTGTGTCCAGACAGAACCTGAGGTAAAAAGTAGAAACTTATTTTTTTCAAATTGATTGAATTTTGCAAAAAAAATACAACAACTTGAGTGAGAAAAAAATTGCATAAATATACACGTGAGAGGAAAGAGACTGAAGGAAATAACATTAAAAAACTGGAGGTTTTGGCGAGTTTTATTCTGGGTTCAGTCGAGGCTGAGCTGAAGACGAACACACGGTTGTTGTGTTGCTAGTTTATTGCTAACCTCTGTACTGTTGGTACATTCGCTGTTTGGGGTGAAATTGCTCAAATTCACACAAATGATCCAAAGTGAAAATTTGCTTTGCTTTCTGTCTGAAAATGTATTTTGTCAGTATTTCTTAGGGAGAGTTTAGCTCTGAAACAGGATGCTAAAGTAAAATCAAAAGATTGTTAATGGACATTTAAATTAAATGCGTTTCATCTGTTGAGAAAAGAAAAAATGTAATCTGTATCCAGCTGTTTTTTTTTTTTTTTTTGTTCCTAATTAAAACACGTTTTCACATTCTGGGCAAAATCCAGATGCTGATGAAACGTACGCTACTCCTGCCCTCACATCTGTCTCCATCACTTTACTCTGTTCTGACTGACGGATCCGGAGGAAGTTTTCCTGTTTCTGCAGAACAAACTGACCTTGATGAAAAGTTTTGTCCAGCAAAAGATGAACAAATGGTGGAGCATCTGGACAGGAAGAGAAAGTGAGAGCTAAAGATACGGCTGTGTGTGCGTGTGTGTGTGTGTGTGCGTGTGCGAATCATTCCTCTAAAGAGCTGGTCTCAGGTGTATCAAGAGGTCCTGAAAATTCAACAGGTAAACTCTGGTGTGTGAGGAAAAGACAGTTTCTCTTCCTCTGTCTCTCTCTCTTTCTCTCTCTCTCACTCACTCACTCACACACACACACACACACACACACACACACACACACACACACACACACATTACAGATGGGATTCTCTCTGTCAGTCATTACAATGAAGGCTATTGTGCTGTTTGGGTAGCTGTTGCAGGAGATAGCGTTCTCTGACAGGGCATTTTGAAAAGAAGCTTATACATCTCAACT